ACTAAAGACTGACATGAGCGGGAGTCATTGAGAAATTTTTCGAGAGGAATAGTCAAAACAGGAGCCAATGTTACATTTAGGACTGAAGCTCCATCTTCAGCTCATCACCTATAATCTAGAGTTCTTGGAGCTGAAGATGCAACTTTGAGGAACCATGGAAACCTTTTATAGCAACCGAAAACAAATGTGTTTCAACGCGAAATGATGCGGTGCTCGATACTCGTAAATAATGTTTTTTTAATTTGCCTATCGGTATTAGAGTCGGAGCTCTTGAAGAAGTACTGACCTCGAACGAATCTCTGATCACACAAACGGTAACAGAATACTTTCATATTCCCGATGTATCCCCCAAACGCTTTATAGTCCATGATGGCCGAGCTCTTCCAATTTTTGGTATACGTCCTAGTGTTTTTCCAATAAATGGAAGAACCTACAGTATATTACAAGCCGCCTACAAACTGCCAATGACTTTTTATGAGGAGCTTTTATTTTATGTCAGAAACTGACTCGTACCGGTGAACGGTGGTTAAACCAGGATTCGAATCTTGGCTTTTAGAAATACAATAAGCAATGAAGATTTATCCACAGAGCTCCAGGATTTTGTACCGAAGCTATAAGACTAAAACTCCTCAATCTTGCTCCTTCCGAAGCAGTCAATTTTTGGAACCGAAATCTTATATTCGTTTTAGCTCCAATATAACTTTCCAGTTTAAGTAAAGTGATATTGAAATTTCAGCAAAAGTGAGCAAAACCAAAAGCAAGTGTATTAACGGTAATAGCAGCCAACGGCAAACAGGTAAGCATGCAAAGTTGTAAAAATGTGGCAAGTAAAACTTTTACTTTCGTCTCACTTTTTTTTTTTTTTTTGTCGAACATGAAAAGAAAACTTGGCCGCCGTCGGCAAACTCTAACCCTGCACTCCACCCTTAGCTCAGAGCTAGCACTTCGGTCAGTTGACGAGTTTTAGACTACTCTCAAGCGGTTTTTCTCACTTTCGGACTTTTTCATTTTCATTTTCTATTTCTTTTTTCGGACTTCTTTCTTCAAAGTGTTTTCAATTTTCCAAGTGAATATCTTACAACACCTAGCCGAAGGTGTGCTTTCGGCATATACACACGTCCAAGTGTTTGTATGTCAAAAATAAATCTTCCAAAGGGAAAACAAAGGCAGCGAAAGGATAACCAGGCAAACTCGTGCCGGCATATGCTCTAACCCGTCCCTTATTTGCACGCTCAAGTATTTGTGCAGTCTATATTTCAGCATGCCTCTCTGCATTGTTGTTATTGCAGATATCATGTTGGCGTTACTAGACTAAAGCATCACAGACAAAGTCTACATTGTTGTTCTGCTTTTTTTTCTTTTTTTTTTACAGTCGACAGGGAGAGGGTACATTATAACGTTGAGCTTTAAACCAATTTGGTAGCTTGTGAAAATGTTGTACATGCACTGGAATATCCCAGTTCGAAGCGTGCATGTGTACGAGGTAATCAGATTTCCTTAGTCGGTTGGGTATGATGAGCTCAAGACAACCGTCGGCATTTGAGTCTTAAATCAATTTCTATTAACTTCAGTTGTTGCTTGTTATATGTGGACAGTCAACAGTTGAGAGTTGAGATTGAAGGAAGTCCTTTTTCCTTTTCTTCTTCCTTAGAGGCTACATACCCCTCTACAGCTTCTTCGCCCATATTTCTTCTGCTCTTTTGGCTACTAAATATGAGGTATATTACTTGTTTACCTCAGCCTTACTTAGACTCCAACCCAATCTGGAAATGCGTTCACCGATGTAGGAAATTAAAATTTTCTCTAGGTGAGGATATGCATTGAAATCCAACACAGAATCACTACTACGTTAGACTGGGTAAGCAACCCTGGAACAACTCAGGTCTGGATACTGTAACAGGTTAAACTCCCACTTATCCAGGCTAGACCCCAGCATACCCAAACGTATGCCCCGCACGACACTAACCACCTCTTCACAACCAACTCATCCAATCGCCCTCTCCCTTTGGTCCAACGCCGTCGAAGTAAGCTTCGTAAGATTTGTGGTACGATGAGCGTTTGGAGACATACATTGAAGACAGCGGCTATAAGAATATACTCCAGCTTTAAAACTTGCCGATACAGTACCCGCTGGTGGAATCAGAGGAAGAAGAAGACCTCCCCTCTGTTGGAAAGAACAGGTCGAGAGAGCACTTTACTTAGCTGTGCTTGGTATTTCTAATTGGCGCCAAGCAGCGAAAAGAAGTGCTGAATGGTGGCCTGTTGTTAACTAGGCTTTAATCGTGTAAGCAGTGTCAATGCCATTAAATAAGAAGAAGAAGAAAAATAATGATATTCATCAGTTAGTTTTGATCGTTATGAAATCTGTCATACGTTGGATATATTAAGGTCGAGTCTCGTAAGATTCTAGTTATCATTACAATGTCCAGATCTTAGCTGTACCGCAATTCTCACGTCGACCAGTTCTACGAGCGTATTCTTATCTGATTTAGTTTCGGAGGGAGACTCTGGTGATCTCGAATACTGATAATTGGCGAAGAATCGTGGTGAGTTGACATGAAGTGACTTCGTAAAGTGTCACATACATCTCACATCATGGTCTTACACAAACCTGTTAACGTCCTCGAGTTCCGGTTGATACCGTTTAATGGGTAGTTGGAATTTATGGGAGACATGGAACAGAACTGCTTGCCCAAAGACTTCAGATTTACGTATATTATTCTGTGATTTCTTCTAAACTCTGCCACACCGTCTGAAATTTCGGCATTCTTGGAAAACTCCAAGTTGTTTTTTATATGTATATAGAAACTCTTTTGTTGCCATGTTGCAGCCACGAACTACCCCAATTCACTCTAATGAAAACTAAAAAAAAAAAATATAATTAAAAGAAAGGAAAGATTTTGTGCTTTTAATGTCTTTACCACGTTTTATATTACAAATACTCAGAATGCTTATGCTTTTGTTGTTGTTTTGGTTGTTGTTGTTGCTGCTGATGTTATTGTTGTTACACTTTTTCTTTCATTTCATTGTTCACAGTTTGGCTTGGCTTTCAACTTTAGCGCTCTTCAAGTCACTCACTGACACACACATATCTGTACCTATAAGCAAGTGGGTATGCCAATGCCACTGACGGCAGCGACGCGCCGCTTTCTACATAGCACCGTTATCGCTTTGCAGCGTTGGAAAAATAATGAGTTTCGTTTGTGGGTCAAGCGGCAACAAATCAATGTGGGCCAACGACAGCGTATGTATGTTTATAAAAAACATTTTACTGAGTACATATGGTCAAGTAGTCAAGGAGATATTTATGTATGCGTGTCTATTGCAGGCAAAACACCTGCCAACATGAAAGTCAAGTAGCTCCTAACTTCTTGTCGAATTTCTAGTAAATAATTGACTTATCTAAAGGATTATTTGTTAGCTTTTTTCGAACTATTTTTAACCTACTTTCGTGACTTTATGGCATAACACTTTCAACATTTTTGGTATTTTTTTCTATTGCAATTCGAAGTAGACTGACATTTGTCTTCTTTTTTTTTAGTTTTTTGTTTCTGCTTTTCAGGTGCGCCAAAGACTACCCAAGTAAATAGTGGCCGTCGCTGGCTTTAATGAATGGCCAAGTCGTAAGTGAAACTTGATTATTGTAATTATATTTGCATGCAAAATTTTCCTTACGGTGTCAGGGTTATCAGTTATTTCGTCGAAAGTTGTAAAAGGAATAATAAAATACTCCTTATGCAATTTTCATTTCTCTCTTTTAATTTTTCGTCACGGAAAGGACTTTGGCTTAGTCAAAAATCATAATCAGTTCAGAGACGTTTTGTCGTGCTATCAAATCAGCAGCGCCGTAAAAAACATATCAAATAAATACTTTAATAAAATTTAAAAAATAAGCTTAATTTTATTTGCTTTTTTTATTTTGTTTTATTTTATTTTATTTTATTTTATTTTACTTGATTTTATTTTATTTTATTTTATTTATGTTATTTTATTTGATTTTATTTTATTTATAATTTATTTTATTTTAATTGCTTTATTTTATTTATTTTTTTTATTTTATTTTAATTTTTTTATATTTTGTTTTGTCTGTTTTTTATTTAAAGTAGATTTGCTTTGATCTTTAACTAATATTTAAAAACATTTATTCATACTAATCGGCACTTTACACCTTTCAAATTACCGCCAACACCATTATATTACTCAATTATAAATAATTCACTAAAGGGATTTAATTACATACATATATACAAAATGTTAACATATTAACTTGATTATGACATATGTGTTTGTTTAAAGCCATAACACATACGAAGATGTATATTTGCATACATACATATGTATGTGTCATAGTTAATATTTGCACTCAATCATTTAGTCGATATGGACGGTTGTTTCACTGAGTTGCACCTTTGCCATATAAACACATCACTTTGTATGTGTTAGTATGTACATATTTGCACTTACTCAATTAGTCTACTGATTTCTTGAACATATGGCAATGAATCATGCCCACATTTGTTCCAAAACCATAAAAACCGGTACTCACGAGGCACCTTTTTGATTACTTAAAAAGCACTTACATTTTTATTTCTTCAATTTTTTATATCATGCAATAATGTCACGCTATCGCAGGCCTGCTGAATACAGTTTTATGCACTCATTTTATGTACTTGAACTTGAACTTAAAAGAAAAGGTAAAAAGTGTGTCATTCATTAGAATAGGAGGTGTGGGAAATTTAAAAAAAAAATCCGTGGAAATAAGTGGGGTACTTTCATGTGATTTACTGATAGTAAATTTATTACTGGTGATAAATATAAATTTATACTTTAGACTTTAAGGCCGTGGGGAATCAACAAACAGCGAAGGACTGTATTATTGCTTACAGTAATTCCTTTAATAAAATTTTCTCTTATTTCGAAACTTAGTAATTTTTATTGTACTAAAAAACAGTGTTTTACACATGAAAAAAATGTCAAAGGTTTCTTTACAGATCTTTTTTTTTACTAATTTTCATTAACGGCCTCACATCGCATTTGTCTCTACTTTAATTAATTGCAGTAAAAAGTTCGACCTATTTCTTTTAATCCATTTTTTCTTCCTCTTTGCTAATTAAGTCTGTTTTTAAATACACGATAATACAAGCTTATATATACAATCTGTGCATTCTTAAAAAGAAATGGGTGAACACAGCGGCGCGCAGGTAAATCGATTTGCTACACTTTCCTCCGCAATATGTACATTCCATAAGAAGCTCTAATCTGAAGTCGCTAGGAATAACACATACATATTTAATTACATTTATGACCTTGTTCTTCTAGGTACGCATAGCAGCAATTATTTTAATTAAAGCCAATTGCCAAAATTGACCTAAATTCTTATCCAAAATATCGTGCATTGCGAATCAAAGCGAGAAACACAGAGAAAGCTAAAGGAAAATATATAGATACGTATCAAGGTCTGTCTAACAAAAAATAAATATAGAAAGTTAAATAATAACAAACGGCCGCCATAACCGTATGGGTAGCCTTGCGTACTGTCAATCTTCCGACCGGGTTTCGAGTCCTTTTTCGATCATCTAAAATTTTTTTTAATTGCCTTCGCCCCTTGGTAGTTACTGTCAACCCATTCAAGTGTATTTCTTACATGAAAATCAAAGTTCCTTATAAAAATCCAGCTGCTGTTGGAGTCATAATTGCTGGTTCCCCCAATTGTTGGTAAAGCGCACACCACTAATCGATGGAGGAGCTCGGCCGAAATCGCTTTAACGGTTAAAAAATATATTACGTGTTTATGTTATGTTTATGTTATATATATAAACGAAATGAAGTTATTGCAAGAAATAAGTTGTTGCCTGGTGATATTAATCAGTGCCTCATCAGTGGAATTGTGACATAAATGAGGCCAACCAATATTTCGCTTACGCAGAGTCGCATAAAGTGACCAATTAATTTATTTTGCCATTAAAGTTAAGTTAGTTTGGTTGACTTTTGCCGGTGATTCCGCGAAATTTGTGCTTTTACTGTAAAAATTGATTTCTTGTACTAAGGATTATGTATTAAAAGTGATTCCTGGATCAGAGTATTGAGATAATATCTTTGAAATCTTTGCGTTATTTTTAGGTTAACTTGGCATGCACTTGGAAGGACAACCAACTTGGAAGCGCACATTTCTGCCAAAAAGAAGCAGCTGATGCTTAAATTTTCCAGTTTATATTGGCTTTTAAGCAAAAATCTAGGCTCAACCTTGAAAACAAAGTCCATCTTTCAAATGCGATTACAAAACCGATATGTTCGTATGGAATACAGTTATGGCGTACAGCTTGCGTGACAAATCTAGTTATAATACACAGCTTGCAATCGAAACCATTGAGAATAATAACAGGCGCACTACGGCACATACGTTATGAAAACATCCAAAGAGATCTTAGCACACGCACAATCAAGGAAAAGGTTGAAACCGTTACACAAAAGTACAAATCAGAACTGCACCATCATCCGAACCCTTTTGGCTATCCTATTGGCCTTCGCAACAATTAAAATAAAACGCGCTTGAAGAGAAGGGACTTACTACCTTTGTGAAGAGCAACATTAAGCCAGAGGTCCATTGCTAGCTAAGGGCTATTATATTTATTTGACAACTTATTGTGAGGCTTCTGATAAATTAATCAATAAATAAATACAAATGCAACAAAAAAAAACATTGTTAGATTGTATTTTCTGTTTCAAAACTTTGGGAAATTGTCGCTTATATCCAGTTATTGACCACACCGCAAAAGCTCTTTCATATTGAAGGTACAACCGAATTGTTATAATCGTTCCCGGACTAATCGACTGAGCATTTCGACTTGTAGTGATTTCAGGCGGCTACTCAATGATTGATAGCAGCTTGTCTGATTGAGTATTCTACGGAAGCTGTATGATATCGCTTAGGTATTGTATTTATATATCTTTTCTCATTATTCACCTTAATAGAGGTCTTCGGCTTTCTCTGCTTCCAACAACGTAAACTGCATAGAATACTTCAGAAACCCTTGCGAATGACTTCACTTAGCCACCATAGGCACTTTCCCCTTAATTTTCTGAACAATGACAATGTCGCCCCGTATATCTGGTACAGCCCACAGTTCCATCGTCTGCTCTATGTTAATGCATAAAGAGCCATAGATCTACCACTAAATCTTCTTTTTGTAAAGTTTTTGAATGCAGTTCAGCAGATTGTGTCATCGTTTACGTTTCTGGGCGATGTAGTAGATCGGAAAGCATAGACGACTTGTCGAGTTTGATTGACTTTGGGCTAGAATGGGGTGTAATGCATTATAGTCCTGCTTCTGTCATGCCTCATGGAACCACGAGCCTTATGTAAAATGTGAATGTTAAAAGATGTGGGGCCTTGTCAGTGAAGCTACTCTGGCATATCCGGAGTCAGAGTTCACTCAAGTCAAATTGTAGTACACCAGAGGTTTCGTTTGCAATCATGCGTCGATCTCGACATATAAGCATGCCTCAGTTGATGCGCCTCCCGATAGAGATTTTATGCGGATTTGAGACTCCACACGTAAAAAATAAAACCATTAAAGGAACACAAAAGCCTCGGTTGAAAAAATGTTCCCCTGGGTTATCAGAACTCTCCAACAACTACTTTATTTATACGAGATTTTCAATCTAGCAACAAGAAAAGCTGGATTATTTCAACTCTTTTCCAAGCTTGTCAGTAAATATTTTGTTTTAGAAATATTTTCGAAAATAACTATTGAAGTTTTGATTAACATTGAAAAAAATGTTAGAAAAAAATGCAAAAATTTCGGTATTACGTACAATGATCGGTCTTGGCGAGGAAATCGAGCCACATTTTATCGTCCCCCAGAATTCAATATCAAATATACGTCAAAAAATTGGACTCGGCGAACGCCCACAGACGGGTACACAAATGCCCACACTTATACCGCTAGAAAACTCACTGCGCAGCACGCAACCCGCCAACACAAAGTGTCCACACTGTGAGAGTATGGCGAAGAACTTTCTCTACCTCGAGAGTCTCATACGCAACAACTACAATCCGAAAGCTCAATGTGGCCTCTGCTACTCATCGCTCAAATATCTGCAATATGTGAATAAGAGCATTCTGCAAGTCTTTGGCAATTTCGAAAGCATCGTCAACGCAGCAAGCACCTTCACCAATAATCGCACGCGCACACCCTTTGCTGCACAGCCAAGTTTACGCGAAGCACGCGCGATCACCGCAAAACCAGCCGCCGCCAAAACAATCAGCCCAAAGAAAAATTTGGCGAAGAAGAATAATATCAAAGAAGGTGGCAAAGTGACTCGACCAGTGCTGAAAACTACCACAAGGGCTGTGAGTAGTGTCCGCTTAACGGGTGGAGGGAGACACGCATGCAAGGCGCGCAATGCAAAGCATCCGAGTGCTAAAAGTAAGAACAAGAGTAAAAGCAAAACAAATCATGCACGTTTGACAGGCGGTTTTGATAGTGCGAAGCGTAAAAAGTCGGCGCCTACAAAGCCGAACAGCGTGAAGCTGAAGAATGTGAAATCGAAACGCAGCAAAATTCGTCCGGTGCGTGCGAGGAAATAGTGTGGATTTGAGGCGTGACAGGTAGTGATGCTCAAGGAGCTTTCTTGACCGCATGAATTGAGGGATATTGACAGAGCGAATCAAATTTCTTGTAATTAATCATTTTTAATTTCATTTTTAAACTTTTTTGGAAGCAGAAATAATTCTCCAATATATTTTAATGTGTGAGTATAAAAAATAAATTTAAAAAAAATTCATTCAAATTAGCGGCGTTAAACTTTTGCCCTTCAACTCAGTTAGTAAAATCAACTCTCCTCACAAATATTTTTAGTTTCGTTTTTTTTGAGATTTTATTGCTCTTATTCCACATTAGAAAGCCAAATTCACAAGAATCAAGCTACCGATCCAAAATATAACATTTCTATAATACGAAAGCCTGTATATTTTGACAGTACTAATCGTTCAGTAAAACGTCATAGATTTTGAGCCAAAGAGCAAATACTCTCTTAAAACACAGTTTGGACTTCATCGAGCTATACTCGTACGTGCTTCCCTCTCAGCTCTACTCATTTCTTAGCTCTGCTCATTTCTTATCGAAGAAGGACCTCAACGGTGAAATTCAGTTCAGTTCAAGTCCAAAGGCGTAAACGTTGAGAAAGTTACAATATTTTCGTTGTTGTACTTTCAGTGACTATTCTCTGTCGATATAATTTGGTCCCTCTGATTCCCTTCTTCTTTGGAGCGATTATGCATAGACGAATCAAAAATAGCTCAACAACTATTTTCTATTTTAGTTACTCGACGCCAATTGGAAATATAAAATCGTTCTAACGATATGGCGGTCTTCCTCTTTAAAAGCTGAAGTGCTGTCGCTCTTACGCACTCGCATAACCGCAGTCTCGTATATCGTCTATATATCGCCTCGGTAGTCGTAGTTCATACGGAGAAGGCCATATATATTCCGCAAAGCCTTTTTCTTGAAGACGTCTACAGCCAACTCTGCACTATAAGGAGGTCTTTGATTGTCGAAAAAAGACTTTATTTTCCAATTGCCCTCTCAGTCTAAACCAGTACCTTTTGGTGCATTCGTTTTCCAGTTGGATACTATTACTCCCTGGACTGACCACTTGTTTGATGACAGAAGATATTTCGTATTTCTTCATATGCCAGTTACCCACACACAGAGATTGCACCTTCGCTATTTAGTTCTTGTGCCTCGCTTGGTTTGGCAAGCGCTTTTCAACTCTGGCAGAGTTTCTGGTGTTGTCAAGCGTCAGTTTACGTGCCGTAAAAGTTTTTGAGGACAGCAATGAAATGGACAAAGGGTGATGTGAGTAGATCCTTTTTTATAGGTATTGTGTAGATTTATGTGTTATCTATCAGTTCCAGCCGTACCCTTCTTCCAATTTGTGGTGGGAGTCTGGAGGTCTTCAAGGAAATGGCTGTACCTAAAGTATATTTTGAGCAACCTCCAGTCGGCCGATAGATTATTATGAAGAGCTTTCATTTTATGTGAGAAATACATTCGGAGGGGCTGGCATTTCCTGCTGAGGGGCAACCACAATTAGAAAAATTCATTTTCTATAATTTTGGATGTTTGTCAGACCAGGACTCGAGCCCTGCACTTCTGAATGGCAGTACGGAATGGTAAACGCAGATACTGCTGCTATTTTATTTAGAGTTGGTTCATACGGGACGAATCCCAAACCCATCGCCCCACGGGGGTGTTGCTAGTTCGAACACAATTATATACTAAGCCGCTTGCGTCAAGATCGACGCTCCCGCACATTCTCAACTCTGGTAAACAGATGCTACAATTGGACTTCAGCGAACCCGTAAACCGAATATGTCCAAGTGACTACTCTTGCAGCCCAAATCTTCCAATTGTGAATGCGTTTGGCATTATTCGTGGACTCCTCTACACCCAGAGACTCTGTCTCATCAAGGAAACTTAAACCATTTCCTAGAAACAGAGCTGTTTTGGACAGATGAGACCATAGAGAGCGCTAAGAATACTTATAGAACTTTCAAAGGCAAGAGAGAAACCCACGACAATCCGGCCAAGGACTGTCACTCCCGCAAACACAACAAGAACAACAAAAATAACCGAAAGAAACATCGATACATATCAGAAATCCGCTGTGTTGCATTTGTCTTCGTACAAGTAGATTTTCTTCCAATCAAACTTTTGTTTTTTGTTTTGTTCGCGGCTTTTCAAAATTTTCATTGAATCGTGTCTACTACAAAATTAAATTGGTATGCGGTAAACCAAAGAAACCTTAACGCCTATTAAAAAAGTAATAAAAATCCGAAATAAAATATTTTTCTTCATTGGAAGCCTTTTGTTTCCAAAAGAGAACGTCAACTTTTACGAACGCAGCATAAAAGTAAACCAAAACCGTTTTTTCAAAGCCAAAAAAAAAACCAAAAATACGAAAATAATAAACAAAAATAATTCCACTCAAAAACGTAAATATTATTGTTTACGAAAAATGTAAACAAACCAGTTTTGTTTACAAACAACGACCTTGAGTTGAGCACCTTTAAATGAGTAGACTCTGAGAGAGTACTTTAAATGAGCAGCTTCTTTGAACGTCCACAGTCAGTGTCAGAAAATATTTTCATTAAAAATTTCAAACCGAAAAATTTTCTTCAACTGAACAGATGCAATTTTCTTCCGTTTAAATACAAAGGATATAAAAAAAGACAACAAAAAAAGAATTGCAACAACTAAATAACAACGAAAAGATATAAAATAAACATTAATTTAATTTAATTCAAACACCGAAAAGTGAAAAAAGGTCGCTAGCAAACGGACTTAAGAAAAAATTCCAACACAAGCAGAGAATTTCAGCCTGCAGCGCATAGGATAAAGGACGAAGGAGCGCAACGCAAACAAGTCAAAGAGCCAACTAGCGGTAAGAGAGCTTATCAACAACATGGGTGATGAAAAAGAGAAAGAAAAGAAGGAAAAAATTGATGAGCGCTTTGAATTTTTCAATAATTATGTCATGAAAACTTTACGTTTGAAAAATGAACGCTGGGTAAAGCTAATGGGTATGCCGGAATCGAAGGTGAGTGTTTGACTGTTTTTGGATTTTAGATTTGAATTTTATTTTATTTTTTATTGTCAATCTGAATGTACCTTATTGTATTTAATTATTTTTGAACTAGTTGAAGAATTAGTAAATACTAAACAATTTTTCAAATGATTTTAAGTCATTTCGACTCTAAGCTTGGACTATAAACCCGTCCAAGTGACCGCTGTCGCAATGAAAGCGTAATGGATATAAAGAAATTAATCAAGATATTTTTAAAAATCCTCTACACTACTCCTAAAAACAAAAAAAATTCGAAACACGATTGTTTCAGCAAACTGAACCCGAATATAGGTTAGTGTCGAGCGTTTGTAGGTCTGGAAAACGATTCCAGACAATGTCTTCGAAAAAATATGAGCTTTTCAGCTTCCGGAATTTCTAGCCTTATGACCGTCGAATTCCCTGTTTCTAAAAATAAAGCTTAAGGTTGTCTTCATGCTTAGCGGACTACCAAAACGCTCCTTTGAATTTTTTATTTTTTTTTTATACATTCTTATAGATCCAATGTACCTAAGCCATAACCGATATTATGTAGAGGTTAGAGGTGGGAATTCATAAACAAAATATAATTTTTTCTTGTAAGGCTACCTTTCGGCAAACCATATCCACCGCACCGTGCTCATTTCTGGAAGGCAATCGTGCGTTGGGTGATAATTTTTAACAGTAGATCTCATCATTTTTTGAAAAAACACCAAGAACTCGTCCAAAATCAAGTGAAGCGTCTCAACTGACATCGATTTATTTTTAAATTTTTTCTTTGCTTTTTTTTCTCTCTTCGTATGGTTAGAGGCTTTCTTCCAAGCCCACCGATGAACATTTGTGTCTCCGATAAGCATTTTCCGCATGGATACTTACACACAGCTACTTCTTATTTCTAATTGATTATTCTGCGTTAGTACCTCCTTCTTCCTAAGTACTATTCTTAAAACTACCAACATTTTCCTAGTTGGAGCCTATAAAATAGAACGGTTGGAGCTTCTTTCGTTTATGCCTTTTTTCGCATTAAACCAAATTTCCGTAACCTTCGGCTTCATCTGCATGTCTACGTCGTTTCAAAACACTTTTGCCTCTTTTATCTTTTTCAGAGTTTTCTTTGGTATTTAGGTTTACTTTATACATCCTTCTCTAACAAGACTTTCTTAGAACAATCTTTGCAGTCTTTCACAAAAACATTACCGAGTTGACTTAAATCCGCAAATTTCAAATATTCTTTCTTCCAGGAAATCATTCAAGTCTTCCTCAACAACCCACATCAACCGCGTTTGGTATTCTATTTGAACATCGCCTCAGTGCTAACGCCGGCGTTCGATTTTCCTGCCAAGCCTCGTAGCAAAATCGTTTATTTCATGCGACGCAATATACCATCAGATTTGCCGTTAGAGGAAATGGATAGCGTAAGTCTTCTACCGTTTCTTCCACAACTCACTTAATCTACCCACAACTTCCATGCACAACTAAATAGAAACTAATGATCGGCGATATATTGCCAAATGTGCTGGAGAATCTCTCTGTACTCTGTGATGATGTCATTTTTCCCGTCGTCAATAATCCCGTCAATCAAGATGGCTGGACATCGGTCATAGTTAATGATATGAAAACCGAGTCGCAGGATTTACGCAATGGCATTGCGCAGATGAAGGGTATTGTCATAAACCGCACAATTCTACCGCTGCCCATTTGTATCGATGAAGTGATGGATTGTGCACCGCAAATTGCCAGTGGGTGAGTAAGCCAGCGAGTGTGTGTTTTGAATTTTTAGGCGGTTGAGGTTAGCCACAGAAAAATGTGATTGCAGATTTTGGCTTCGAACGTACATCGTAGAGGAGGGCCGGCGATAAGCCCGATATGAAGAACCCACTGGCTCTGTAGGTCAACTAAGGATCTACATATTTACGTTATTACTTGAAAAGAAGAGTGACGCAAAATTTATGAAGCGGTAGATGAGATGGATAATAAGGAATCTTTTAGAATCCTTATAATAATAAGGCCTTGCAAGCAATATATTCGTTTTTAGAAGTATACTGTGAGAATTTCTATCAACACCTAAACAGAGGTGCTCTACATTGGGATCAAGATCGAATCAACGTGCCAATTCTCAAAATCTTTAGGAACTTTTCAATAGGATCACTTCCTCTGATTACATTACAACAGAAAAACTTCTCTCTAAACTATCGACACATTTAAAAGGGTCCTTAACATAGACTGAATAAGCGCGAAAATAAGACCATCTTTCGTTTTGAAACAAAAAAAAAACTGAGGGAAAAATTCATCGCAAGATTCGTTTCCGGTTAGCTCGAGATCCATATATAATGGATTCGGAAAATCAAACTATTTTTAGAACATAATTTTCGAGAAACCAACTCAATTTAGTATTGAATTAGTAGATTATCCCCCAAGTTCGGGTGTAATGAACTAAGAGTATCAGGAATACAAATGATGAAATGAAATAAAAACAAAATCAGTCGTAAAACAGTTTACTCTCACCATTCCTGCTCCCTACGCACAACGTTTGCTTCCACACCTCTCTCTCTCTCTCTCTTTCCCTCTCCATTTCTTTTGACATATGCTGTAATAAACTATCGCAAGCTGTAAAAATTTGTTTGAAATGAATTTTTAACGATTTTATTGCTGCTTTATCTCTCTCTCTCTCTTTCTCTCTTTCTCTCTTTCTCTCTTTCTCTCTTTCTCTCTTTCTCTCTTTCTCTCTTTCTCTCTTTCTCTTTCTCTCTCTCTCTTTCTCTCTCTCTCGCTCTTTCTCTTTCTCTCTCTTTCTCTATCTCTCTCTCTTTCTCTATCTCTCTCCCTTTCTCTCTCTCTTTCTTTCTCTCTCTCTTTCTTTCTCTCTCTCTCTCTTTCTTTCTCTCTCTCTCTCTTTCTCACTATTCATCCAGTAACCTAAGCAATTTCAACAACTTGCTGAAGCACTCCCTCGAGTTTATGGTGGTCAAGTGGCTCGACTCGGTTGAGGATTTAGTGCTGGTAAAGGCACGTGAACGCATCTACGCCAAGGAAACACATCCGAAACCCGATATGCTCTTCGCTTTCTGGGAGACGCGTTTGGAGAACTTGGAAAATCTGGCCGATCAATTAGGTGATAAACGCATAAAAACAATCGGTTTTGTTTTGGAAAAAATCAATTCCGTTTTCGAGTCCACCTATCGAAAGATTGTTGAACTGGTACTACAAGCACTGGCAGAAGCCCGAGATATAACGAAATATTTAACACCATTGGTAAGAGAAACAAGCAACGTCTCATCTCTTCTCTTCTCTTAAAAATTCTTATCTTCCTCTCTTGCGTTCAACACACACAGCATAAAATGGTGGACACATTCGAGGCGAATCGTATGGATGAGAATCGCGCACAACTGCGTCCACTACTGCTCACAGTGGGTCTGGTGTGGGGCCATTCGAAATATTTTCACACGCTGGACAATATGACTTTACTTTTCGAGCTGCTGCACAATTCGCTAATAGAGAATGTCATTGCGACCATTGAGCCCGAGAGCTGTTTCGGCGATGTCGATGAGGCTTTCAAACGCATTGTAATAAATATCGATCACATAACCTACTACAAGTGAGTGCGAAGTATGTGTACTGAGTTTAGTTTATTTCTACGGCACTTCGCTCCCTTTCTTTGTGTAGAAAAATTTATGAACAATGTCGCTCTGGTTTGAAGAAATTCAAAATCGGCACACAATTCAACTCTCAAGATTGGACTTGGCATCCGAAGACCATATTCGATCGGCTCGATCGTTTCGTGGAGCGTCTAAATGTAATGAAGAATATCTTCGATACCGGACGTGACTTTCTGAAATTGGAGAAAATCACTGTGGGCGGCTTGAAAGGGCGTCAAATCTCTGCTGCTCTAGTTAAAATTCTAGAAGAATTCAATAATAAATATCGTGATTGGACAAATGGCATGGCGTACAATGTGCTCGATCCCGATGAATCGGTGGAACAATTTCAAAAGGATGTTGAGAAATTTCATGAACTAGCTGAACAGTTGGAGCGACGCATTGCATTTCAATTTGAATTGGCTCTACTTGACTCTCATGACTTGATGCTCTGCGGCAGTTTGTTGCTGCGACCGATCATTAAGCAGCAACTTGATCCACATATGCATATACTGGTGGATGATTTGGCTGAAGAGATACATGCGGTTAAGAAGGATTTCAACGTTTTCGAGGCAATTTATAAAGAATTGGGCGTGAAGGTAAATAAAAAAAGTTTATTTTTGATTAAAGAAAAAAAATTAAAATATGATTAAATATATATCGAATAAGTATTTTATATTCAAAGTATAAACCATACACCGGTGTGGGCCTTTGATAAATTTTGAATAGCCACCCCAAATGTAGGCAACATTTTATACATAAGTAGATTATTCTACTAAGTTACGGTGTATAGCAGAAATGTAGCCTGCCTTTAGGACAGTGTTCAATAATCACTTTATATATTTCGCTAAAAAAACAAAAAACAGTTTATTTCATGTTTTTATTTGAAGAAAAAAATTTATTTAAAATATTAGACCACTAGAATTTGTCTCTTTCATTTAATGCCATGTATAAGCAATAACGTAGGGTGTGAGCCTTTGATGAAATTTGAGTGGCTGTCCAAATGTAGGCAACGTTTTACATTTACTACGATTTCGCTAATCTACGGCATATAGCTAAAATGTTACCTACCTTTTAGGGCGGTAAAACTATAAAATTAAAAAATGTTTTCATTCGATTCAGGGTCTACCCACCGATGTGTGTTTCCCAAAAGTGTCCGGTGCCATCTCTTGGCTGCATAAGCTGCGTCATCGCATCACATGGATCAGATCTGATTATGAACTCTACGAATATCCGTAAGGGGCTTTTTTGAAAACCAATAACTACGTTTTGACCATATTTTCTCTTACCTTTTTAGGCTTTTCGATAACGAGTATGGCGAGCAAACGCTAGATATCTATAATCAAATGTTAAATGAAATCGAAACGCTCAAACAAGCCATACTCGAGGAATGGTATACCCAAGTGCGTGAGCAAATCGCCTTTGGCATGCAGCAAACTCTGTTGAAGAAGAACAATAATGGTGTACTCTCTGTGAATTTTACACAAGAACTGTTGGATGCTCTCAAGGATATTAAAGTTTTGCGTATTATGGATTGCGAAGTGCCCGATGAGCTAGTAGAGTTCTACGAACGTGATGAAGAATTCTGGGTAATTACGGGTGTAATGAATATTTCAAAAACTGTAGTAAATATTAAGCTGCAGAGTTCTTTACTCTTTTCTTCTTGAGAGGACCTAGGAATATATTGATCATCGGTCCACCACCATTACCTTAACTATTATTTAACATATTTTTTTAGAATATAAAATTGACATACAGTTTATATAATACGAGTACTCTCTATCTTCATTTACTCAAAATTTCTCTCTCACGCACAGCAAGCACGTCTCAAACTCATGCGCATCGCAGAATGGTACAATGACATTAACGCTCGCTCGCAACCGAGCGAAATGAATTTGATACGAGCAGAGCTGAGTGCAATCGAACATTATATGGAGCCACTAATTAACGATATCATCTGGATGTCATTCGGTCGGTACAACGAAAAAAATTTAATTTTCCCCGCACTGACTCTCAAATCCCTTCTCTCATCTCCCAGATCAACGCTTTATCAATAAGGTATTCGGGAAGATCAGTCATTTGCAAAAACGTATTGAGAAATGTCAAGCGAATTTGGATGCCATCAAAGCAAGTATCAACTCATGGGGAAAAGTTCCGCTTTTCCAGCGCAAAGATCTCAATCCCAAGGCACTGTTGGAAGTCGAGCCACGCGCCACTATTATTGCTAAACGCGCCAGACAAGCGAATGACACCAAACAGCTCATCGACAAGTTGATGTTTGAGAATGCGAAATTGTTTTTCGATATACCACAACGTTACGAAATTGAGGAGAGTAGTGAGGCAGTTGAAGAAGAAGATGGCGAAGAGCGACCAGTACCAAACATAGTCGCAGCTAGTGCAGCAGCAACGGCTGCGGAGAAGACAGGTGTGCCGGAGCCAAAGAGATTTACGCAAGCCACAGTGGAAGAAATAGAAGAAGCATCCTCTGAGGCAGAGGTATGACCTCATTCTTTTATATATTTATTTACTACAATATTAGACATCATTTTATACACCGACATTTCTCTTAACAGATGATTACGCCTCAGCATCGTTACGACTTACTACAAACTCTCAGCGAAACCGAACGCGAGCAATTTCGTGAATATGAAAAATATGTGGATACACAAATTGCCTCTGAACTCTTGGATGCTGTCATCACAAGCGTCACCTATCTACGCATGGAGATCGACAATCGCTATGAGAATGATGCGCCCATCTTTGAAATATTCATGGAATTGCAAGAGCCTCTTATTGTTTTCTTTCTCAATTTGGATCCGAGCTCGCCGTATGGCTTCACAATGCATATCGATAATTTGATCGATGATATGTATAATATGATGAGCATGTTGCCGCGTGTGGCACAGGATCCACCGGAGGAAGACCTTGAGCCGGAAAACTTTATGGGTAGGCTTTATTGGAAATTTATACAAATCTTTTCGAAACACAATCTGGCCTTCAGCTCAATAGAAATTTTATAAAAAAATATTTATGGCAAAGTATTAAACGAGAAATAACTCAGTATAATAGTAGGATCCACACAATTATTATTTTTTTCATTTCCTTTTCAGTATGCCCTCTCTCGTTCTGTTTTAATTTTCAACACACTCTTGGTAAAAAAAAATATCTTTCTCTTAACCCACAGATGAGCTGAAAGATAAACCCGAACTAACGAAGCAGCGCAATGAAATTATGAGTCGCGTTAAATTCGCTCTCCAACAAATACGTTCACACTCTAAGATTTATATGGATTACTCATATTTATGGCTCTCAGATAAACAACAATATCTTGCCGAAGTTAAGAAATATGGACGGCCATTAACGGTAGCTGAACGCGAAGCGGAACTGGAAGGCGAAGGCGAGTCAGGTTTAAAGCCTTTGAGAGAGGAATACCCACCGCTGAGTGTCTACAAAGAGCAGGTATGAACGAATTAAGTTTAGTTTTATCTCCCGCGTGTTATGCTCTGACTATGTTTCAATCAGGGTGACCTTTTTTAACCCACGCGATGTGAAAATTAATTTTAACCGTATACTCTCTTCCATTTGCAGTTGGACAAATTCATTGCCCTACGCAACGAGATTTCTCAGTGGGAATACTTTATTGATTTCAATGTTTGGTTGCGTTTAAATAAGAAAGGTTTCAAAAATGCCATGCTCAATGAGGTTTCCAAATGGATAAGCCTCTTCAAGCATGACCTTATCGACAGGGTTATGAACTCGCTGCAGGTAAGTGCTTTGGTTGGGCACTTGAAAATTTAATGAGAAAAAATTCTTTCAAACAGGAACTTGAGGATTTCGTGGATGAAGCCAATGAAGCGTTGAAAATCGAACTCAATAAAGATGACTTCGAAGGGCTACTTAAAATTCTCTCTGTACTCAATACGATCAATGAGAAGCAGTACACGTACGATTACATGTTCGACCCGCTGCGCGAGGTAGTCGATTTGCTAAAGCAGTATAACTATGACTTCAAAGATAGCGTATTGGCACAGGTGAGCTGTGATGTACATAAATCTTAGTCAATATATGTTTGTCTTGCTTGAGCGGAGATCAAAACAGTTCTACGCCAAAATTCTGAGGTTCTCGTAGTCAGATGTTCTTAATCGATTGCACGATTCTTCCATTCGTTCAGCCACTTTTTATGTCCTTTTTTATCCTTTCACTCACTATCCCTGCAACTTCCCTCAGTCTAGCCATATTGACTTACTTCTAACACTTCGTACATTTATGTCATCTTTTTTCAGTTGAACGAATTGCCTGACAAGTGGATGAAAGTGAAGAAAAATGCCGCGGCAGTGAAGCAAACAATTGCACCCATACAGTCCTATCAAGTGGATCTAATCGAGAAACGAATCATACTCTGCGACACCATGGCAAATCAATATCGCAAGCGCTTTTTGCGTAAAAGGGTAAGAGCGCCAAGCGCACTTAATAAACAAACTTTAAGCCAATAACTTCTCCCCTACGCAGTTCTTCCACGTGCCCTGTACTAATCCTTACGAACTAATCGATGAAGCTGATCTGGAGATAGCCGCCTTGGAGGAACGTCACAAATCGCTCTCAGAATCCGCAGTACTATTCGAGTTGCAGGGACCGGATGAGAGTAAGATTGAACGTTGTCGCAAAGAATTGCAGCTGCTGAAGATCATGTGGGACTTTGCTATTACAATACAAACCACAATCGATGAATGGAAAAAGACGCCTTGGAAGAAAATCGATATCGAATCAATGGATCAGGAGTGCAAGAAATTCGGCAAAGAACTACGTGGCCTGGGCAAGGAAATGCGCGCTTGGGAGCCTTACATCCACACAGAGAACCAACTCAAGAATTTAATGACTTCACTGCGCGCCGTGACTGAGCTACAAAATCCAGCCATACGTGATCGTCATTGGGTTGAATTGATGACAACTACGGGTGTCAAATTCAGCATGGACGACTCAACAACACTAAAAGACCTCATCGATTTGAATCTACATGAATACGAGGAAGAAGTCAAGGGTATTGTTGACAAATCGGTTAAAGAGCAAGCAATGGAGAAAATGCTCAAAGATCTTGCAAACACATGGGCCAACATGGAGTTCCAGAACGAGATACACGAGCGCACAGGCCTGAAGTTACTGAAAGCTTCAGAGGAAATGATCGAAACATTGGAGGAAAATCAAGTGCAGCTGCAAAATATGGCTTCATCCAAGTACGTTGGCTATTTTCAGCAAGAAGTCGCCTCCTGGCAGAATAAACTCTCCAATGCCGATCAAATCATCAGTTCCTGGTTTGAGGTGCAACGCAAATGGCAATATCTCGAGAGTATATTTATCGGTTCCGAAGATATACGTTCACAGCTGCCCGAAGACTCTAAGCGTTTCGATTATATCGATCGTGAGTTCAAGCAGCTACTGAACCAAATGAATGCCGATCGCAATGTGGTGCGCTCAACCAATCGACCGAATAGCAAACTCTACGAAACACTTGAAGCGCTATTGAAACAACTCACGATGTGCGAAAAGGCACTCAACGACTACTTAGAGACCAAACGTTTGGCTTATCCACGCTTCTACTTTGTCTCCTCCGCCGATTTGCTGGACATACTCTCCAACGGCAATAATCCCAAAATGGTTTGTCGTCATTTAACAAAGCTCTATGACTCCATGGGCCGTCTGAATCTCATTGCCGGCACAAAACTTGCCGTCGGTATGATAGCGAAAGAGCATGAAGAGTTTGTGCCATTCTTGGAAAATTGTGATTGCAGTGGCAAGGTCGAGGTTTGGCTCAACCGCGTAACGGACCGTATGCGTGAAACGCTGCGAGACCATTTTCGACGCGCAGTTGTCGCGTATGAGGAGAAGCCACGTCATATCTGGATTTTTGAGTGGCCTGCACAGCCGGCTTTGGTGACGACACAAATCTGGTGGACTACGGAGACAAATGATGCCTTCGCTAAGGTACAGCAACGTTATGAGAATGCAATAAAAGATTACAACAAGAAGCAGGTGATGCAATTGAACAATTTGATCAACATTTTGCTAACCGATCTCTCGGCTGCGGATCGTCAAAAGATCATGACAGTATGTACGATCGATGTACACAGCCGCGATGTGGTCGCAAAGATTATTGCCGCCAAAGTGGAGCTGGCCACAGCATTTCAATGGCAAAGTCAACTACGCCACCGTTGGGATTTGAAGTTTGACGATTGTTTTGCGAACATCTGTGATGCGCAGTTCAAGTACGACTACGAGTATCTGGGTAATACGCCACGGCTGGTGATTACGCCACTCACCGATCGCTGTTATATAACTCTGACACAGTCGCTGCATTTAGTAATGGGTGGTGCACCTGCGGGACCAGCTGGTACGGGTAAAACGGAGACAACTAAGGATTTGGGACGCGCTCTCGGCATGATGGTGTATGTCTTCAATTGCTCCGAACAGATGGATTACAAATCGTGTGGTAATATACATAAAGGACTCGCACAGACCGGTGCTTGGGGCTGCTTCGACGAATTCAATCGCATCTCAGTTGAGGTGCTCTCCGTGGTGGCGGTGCAAGTCAAGTGCATACAGGATGCGATTAAGGTGAGAGTGCGCGATGTGGGAAATTAATATTAAACTTTCTGTTCTTTTCCAACAACAGGCTAAGAAAGTGATGTTCAACTTTTTGGGTGAAATCATATCGCTCCGTCCCACAGTCGGCATGTTTATCACTATGAATCCTGGTTACGCCGGACGCGCTGAATTGCCTGAAAACTTGAAAGCACTCTACCGTCCCTGCGCCATGGTTGTGCCGGACTTTGCGCTCATCAGCGAAATTATGATGGTTGCAGAAGGTTTTCAGGAAGCACGTCCCTTAGCGCAGAAATTCATCACACTCTACACTCTGTGCAAGGAGTTGCTGTCGAAGCAGGATCATTACGATTGGGGCTTGCGTGCCATCAAGTCCGTTCTCGTGGTTGCCGGCTCCCTACGTGTAAGTATGTTTGGTTGTGTACTGTAATTACTCACTGCTAAACTGCAAGAAAGGAAATGAGCATCACATAGTCACCTAAAACTTGCCGGCAAACTTAATCGCTTTTGCACACATCCTAAACAGCGACAGACTCACCACTGCTGTTACGTGATCTACAGCTTACAGTATTCGGAAAGGATTTACGCAGAATCTCTATCAGCACGCGCGCACCCATTATACGCTACTTGGGTTTTCACATTTTGTAGGATTGTTGTTGGCACTGGCTAAAGTTTCGAAAGTCTCATTTACAGTACGAGTTCATTTAAGAAGATTTCCTCGTTTGTTGTTTCGGCTGTTTAGTCATTCTCGCTCTCGTTCTCATCCTCGCCCTCGTCCTCATATCATGTTTTACTTTATTGTGAATCCATTTGTTATCTTCATCCACTACACGAGTGTCCTTGAGTTTGTCAACACCTCTATTCGGCTTGACACTCTACACGCAACCAACACGTTCCCGTCGTGTTAGTCCCACAGCTCATAGTATTGCAAGCTAATGCTATTAAGAGTTGCCTAAAAGTTTCTGTTGCAATGAGCATACGAAGCTGCACTGCAAGTATATTTATCTGTATACAATACATATGCATTCATGTGTGTTTTCGTTTGCAATTTGAAAGTCGAAGTGCAGCATTTTAATTAAAAGTTTCGTGCGCCCGGTAATGAGAAATCCACATTCGCTAAATTAGTCCAACACGGCACTAACGACAGTGGCCCCAGCGAAGAGAAAGAGAGGCAGAGAGAGAAAGAGTAGTTTCGCGCGCGGTCGCTAATTTAGTTTCGCACTTAATGCATTCGCGTAAGAGTGTGCGACATTGAATTGTTTTACGGAATACGTGATAAGTCGCAACTGATTGACCGGAAGTAACTCAAGCAGTATTTCAAGTATTTCTGAGTCCTTGGTGCTGCTTCGACACATTTAATGACCAAGGTTGGTGGAAACAACAAAAAAAATATTTCATTATGCTAGCGAATAATAAGTGCTCCGACTCACGTTGTTGGAATCTCTGAGCTGTGCGGTAAATTTGCGCCAGACACTTTAACCCGTCATCGTCTGCAGAAGCCTTTGTAATTTATTTATTTATTCTTTAATTTTTTGTTCTCCCTTTATTCCAATGAAAAACCGACGTAGACGTCGTCAACGCTCTTTGTTTTGGGTTATAGCATTTTTAGGTTCGGTATCGGAATATGGACGAAAAGATTACAATTCAAATATTTGATAGCTTAAGGAATATGTAATAAATTTGAAGCCCGGCGTGGCTCTCACATTTTTTTTTTTTCTTTTTTTTTTTGTATTCAATTTTTTTTATTTGCCAGAGCTTGACGAAATTCAGAAGTGGAATCAAATACTTTTTAATCAGATTACTGGACTGCAGATTTCCTCTTTAGTTGGTCTACGGTTGGGTTTGGACCTATCTTCCCCCAGATCATGCGGCTTTGAGAACAAACGTAAAGACAATAGATTTAAAAAATGTGTTTCATGAAGTGTTTTTTAATTTTTAAAGTTTAGACCTTAGCATTATATGTGAAACAGTACATCATTCATATGCCTGCCTCGTGAATTTTGGCAAGCTATGATACTGCTTCGAAAGCACAATGATACCCTCGCCATTGTAGTTTTGAAATAAATAAGGTCCAAACACATCTCCGGATCAAAGGGATGTTACTTTTCTTCTATTTTTTTTTTTTTTTTTGTGTAATGGCTTCTCTTGGATTATTTAAGGTTTCCGGTGCCCCAAAATCGCAATATTCGTATCCCCCAAAAAATTTTGTTCAAATGCTTGTTACACCCAATTGGCGGTATCTATGACATTCTGAGTAGTCATCTGCCTTCAGTTGCTGTATAAGCTAGACTTTAAATGTGCCGTAAGAAAAACACAGCTCTTGAGAACGTCGGGAAATATACAAGTTCAGGCGATACTTTCACTTACAGCACCGATATTTTAAGTTGAAACGAGAAAAACGATGAGGCACAGGCCCTGCAGTATCTGTAACCCTTCCACCATTTTCAAATTTCTCTTTATTCTAAGAATTTCTTGAATAGTTGGACGATTATGTGCACCAACAACTCTTCTTAAAGCACAAAATGCGGCCTCAGCATTTTCCTAGTAGGTTTTGAAAACTTAAACGCATTGTGCGGTTGTTAAACAATCCATTCTCTTAAATGTCTGACTTTTAACTAAATCAAAACATGTTTGGTTTGACAGTTAAATTTGATATATGGCAAAATATAGCCCCGTAATTTTGAAACCGTTCATTCTCTTTTGATTCGACCACCTTGGGGGTAAGAGAACACTTCATTCTTCCTATCTAATCTAATTCCTAATGTTCTCAAAGTTATTTTTCATGAGTATTTAGATCTGCTTTACGTTTGAAGGTTTCAAAAAAGATATCACTCAAAACGAGCAATGAATAGAACTTTTTTTTTTGCAAAAAATGGCTGTGCGTTGATCCGTCACTCATTAAGGGCTATAAATGTTTTCAATAGATTTTACTTCGAATAGTTATTGTATTCATAACTCATTAATTTCTTACAATTTTTTCAGCGTGATGATCGCTATCGTCCTGAGGATCAGGTGCTCATGCGTGCCTTACGTGATTTCAATATACCGAAAATCGTTACCGACGACGTGCCTGTCTTCATGGGACTAATAGGTGATTTATTCCCCAATTTGGATGTGCCACGGAAACGTTCACTGGAATTTGAAGCGGTCATAAAAAGGTCAGCAATTGATCTGAAATTACAACCCGAAGAAGGATTTATTTTGAAAATTGTGCAACTTGAAGAGCTATTTGCTGTCAGACATTCGGTGTTTATTATCGGCTTTGCCGGCACTGGTAAATCGGAAGTGTGGAAGACATTAAATAAAACTTATCAAAATCAAAGACGCAAACCGCACTACAATGATCTCAATCCGAAAGCAGTAACCAATGATGAGCTTTTTGGCATCGTCAATCCAGCAACGCGCGAATGGAAAGATGGACTTTTCTCTATCATCATGCGTGATCAGGCGAATTTAGGTGGCACTGGTCCGAAGTGGATTGTCTTGGACGGTGATATAGATCCAATGTGGATTGAGAGCTTGAATACAGTAATGGATGATAATAAAGTGCTAACACTGGCCAGTAATGAACGCATTGCTTTGACAAAGGAGATGCGTTTACTATTCGAAATTGCCAATCTGAAGACTGCCACACCGGCCACTGTGTCGCGCGCCGGTATACTGTATATCAATCCACAAGATTTGGGTTGGAGCCCATTCATACAGTCGTGGCTTAATACGCGTGGCAATCAAACCGAAGTGGCCACACTCAATGTGCTCTTCGACAAATATGTGCCGCCGATGTTGGATGTGTTCAATAAACGTCTGAAACGCATCACACCCATTTCAAATATCGCAATGTTGCAAATGACCTGCTTCCTGCTCGACTGCATGCTTACGCCACAGAATGTGCCCAACGACTGTCCAAAAGACTGGTATGAAATCTACTTTGTGTTCAGCATAATTTGGGGGTTCGGTTCGACACTCTTCCAAGATCAAATTATCGATTGGCGTAATGAGTTTCACAAATGGTTCATCAATGAGTTTAAGGCAGTTAAATTTCCACCAGGCAATAATGTATTCGCCTATTATGTGGATCATGAGACAAAAAATTTCCTACCCTGGACCAAGTTGGTGCCATCTTTCGAGTTGGATCCCGATGTGCCGCTACAAGCAAATTTAGTGCATACTTCAGAGACAACACGCTTACGCTATTTCATGGATGTACTCGTGCAGGATAATCATCCCGTAATGCTGGTCGGCGCTGCAGGCTCTGGGAAAACGATTATTATGGGTTCCAAATTGAATGCGCTGCCCACCGAAAAGTATGCCATACAAAATGTGCCTTTCAACTTTTATACGACATCAGAGATGTTGCAACGTGTATTGGAGAAACCGTTAGAGAAGAAAGCTGGTCGTAATTATGGCCCACAGGGTAATAAACATATGTTGTACTTTGTGGACGATATGAATATGCCCGAAGTGGACAAATATGGCACCGTACAACCGCACACACTCATTCGCCAGTTTATGGACTATCATCATTGGTATGATCGCATCAAGATGACTCTACGCGACATACACAACTGCCAGTTTGTATCGTGCATGAACCCCTCGGCCGGTTCGTTCACAATCAATCCACGCTTGCAACGACATTTCTGCTCTTTTGCCGTCAAGTATGTCATTTGTAGTGCTTTTGTATCCTTCATTATTTTATTTTTATTTTAGTGCTCCCGCTTCCGATGCACTCTTTCACATTCTTTACTCGATCCTCTCGCAACACTTGGCCACACCACATCATAAATTCGATAAAGCTGTGATTAATTTGGGTGAACCCTTGGTCCATACAGCTATTTCTTTGCATCAAAAGGTCGCCGCAATGTTCCTGCCCACGGCTATTAAGTTTCACTACAATTTCAATTTGCGGGACATCGCCAATATTTTCACGGTAAGTCTGCTCATCTTATCTCTTAGTAATATTTCTAGTGGTCCAAGAGGCATCCAAAGGATTAAAAATGAGTTCAAGAGTCTATCTCTGATATGAATTAAAAGTTCCTAATATAAATCCGTCATCTATTATCTCCAGCTATATTTTTTTAGGAGATACAGAGACCAGCTGTATATGTCACTTCTAGATTTCGATACAGAATACAAGATTTTCTGGAATTATTAGCCTAGAAGCATCGTAAAGAAAAAAATTTATATTTCTTCATTCTCCTTTCTGCTATCAAAGCAATTTTGCACGTCGTCAATCCAATATTCCACTTCTTATTTGCGAGCGGTTGAAAGGTCATAAACTCGATGGCTTTACAAGTTTACGTCAACATAATTTACAACAAGCCACTTGCAAAGCTTTACCTGTCCTTTTTCCTTTTGATTTTATCCTTTTGCTTTTAAATATAATATTCAACTTCTGGTTTTAATCATTTTATACATACCAACTTACCTACTTTTACACAGGGTGTCCTGTACGCGAATCATGAAACTTGTCCTAATCCAAACATGCTACTACGCTTGTGGGTACACGAATGCCATCGGGTCTACGGTGATAAGCTTGTTGATCGCACAGACATAGCCAACTTCCGCAAGCTCGTCAACGATATGGTGCGGAAAGGTATTGAGACCTTCACGGAGGATACTGTCTTCGCACGGCCACACATCTATTGTCACTTCGCCAAGGGATTGTCCGACATTAAATACATGCCCATCTCAGATTGGGAGCGTCTCCATCGTCTACTGACAGAAGCGCAAGAGCGCTATAACGACTTCGTAGGCGCATTGAATTTGGTACTCTTCGAGGATGCCATGGCGCATGTTTGTCGCATTAGTCGTATATTGGAGTCTTCACGTGGCTATGCATTGCTTATTGGCGTGGGTGGCTCAGGCAAACAATCTTTGACGCGCTTGGCGTGTTTTATTTCATCCTTAGATGTCTTTCAAATACAACTTACCAAAGATTACAGTAACAACGACTTGAAAGCCAATTTGTCAACATTGTACATGAAGGCGGGTGTCAAATCGACGCCTTGTTGTTTCCTCATGACCGACTCGGAAGTGGCGCGCGAACAATTTTTGGTGCTCGTCAATGATTTGCTGGCCTCTGGCGATATACATGAACTGTTTCCGGATGATGAAGTTGAGAATATTATAAATGCAATGCGCAATGAAGTCAAGCAGCTGGGCATTATGGATACACGCGAAAACTGTTGGAAATACTTCATCGACAAAGTGCGCAGTTTGCTCAAGGTCGTACTATGTTTCTCGCCCGTGGGCGCTACTCTGCGTGTACGCGCACGTAAATTCCCAGCACTTGTGAATTGCACCACCATTGATTGGTTCCACGAATGGCCACAAGAGGCGCTTGAGTCAGTATCAGCACGATTTCTCAACGAAATCGACGTACTACCTAAATATTTGGCCAGCCCTGTATCCAAGTTCATGGCTTACGTGCATAAAACGGTCAATGACATTTCGCAAGTTTATTTGACCAACGATAAGCGTTACAACTACACAACACCGAAATCCTTCCTTGAACTCATCAATTTGTACGCCAAACTGCTGCAGGAGAAGGTGAAGGCAAATCAAGATCGGCGCATACGTTTAGAGAACGGACTCATTAAACTGGCGAGTTGTTCGAAGGAAGTCGATGCACTGCAGGACGTGCTGAAGGTGCAAGAGGTTGAGCTAAAAGCGAAGAATGAGGAAGCCGATCACTTGATTAAAGTTGTAGGCGCTGAGAACGAAAAAGTCTCGAAGGAGCGTGCATTCGCCACCAAAGAGGAAAAGAATGTGCGTCAAATTGAGGAGGATGTCACAGCCAAGGCGAAATTGTGCGAGGAGGACTTTCGCAAAGCACAACCGGCGTTAATAGCTGCGCAAGAAGCGCTCAATACACTTAATAAAAACAATCTCACCGAACTGAAATCATTCGGCGCACCACCGGAAGCTGTGGTTAGTGTTTGTGCCGCCGTCCTCGTGCTATTCGCTTCGAAGGGCAAAATACCAAAGGATCGCAGCTGGAAGGCTTGCCGTCAAATTATGGGCAATGTTGATAAATTTCTCGGTGATTTGGTGAACTATGATAAGAAACATATACACCCGGATATCATTAAAGCGCTCCAACCATACATCAACGATCCAGAATTCATTCCGGAGAAAATTCAAGCGAAGTCAGCTGCTGCTGCCGGTCTATGCTCATGGGTTATAAATATAAATCGCTTCTATGATGTCTATTTGATAGTAGAACCCAAGGAGCGTGCGCTCAACGATGCAGAGCAAGAGTTGAAGGATGCACGTGACAAACTACAGGCACTGAATGACCGCCTGCTCGAGCTGGAAGAGCAGTTGAATATATTGCAAATGGAGTACGATGAAGCTTTGGCTAAGAAGCAAAAGTGCCAAGATGAGGCCGATAAGACGGCGTTCACAATTGATTTGGCTAACCGTTTGATTGGCGGCTTGGCGTCGGAAAAAATACGTTGGACTGAGTCGGTAAAGAGGTAAAGTACATCTCTTTCAAGGGTTTATAATTAGATTTTTTAAAAATATATTTTTTCTTCCCCTCATAGTCTAAAAGAAGGTCAAATCACTTTACCTGGCGATATGTTGCTTATATCATGTTTCATTTCCTATGTGGGCTGTTTCACACGACCCTACCGCATTGAGTTGCAGCAGAAAATGTGGCGACCCGCTTTCAAGAACAGTAACGTGAGTATAACACTTGTGTAGCGGTCTATCAGTTTAGCTATTTTTTCTCATTAGCCTAAAATCCCCGCCACTGAGGACAGTGATCCTTTCGATATGATCTGTGATGATGCACAAATCGCCGAATGGAACAATCAAGGCCTGCCAAGCGATCGTATGTCTTCGGAAAATGCTGCAATTTTAGTACACTCCGATCGCTATCCGCTGATGATAGATCCACAACTGTAAGTAGGGAAATTTTCTTTTTGTTTTTATGCTGAGGTCATACACTTTGCTAAAGTTTAAGTTGAACCATCATCGTGGGGTGATGGAGAGGAGGACGCTTCCTTTTAGGTCTTATTTGCACCGGAATTAAAGAGTAGGTGCTCTCTACTTTGTAAGAACCATATCTAAGATATCATGCTTCTGCGTATAAGCTCGAAAAGCCTGATAGACCGAAGTCTTTGGAAAGTCAGCAATTGGCGTAGACTCTTAAAAGAAATCTTTCTCGAAAGAATACCAGAAGTTAAATAGGTCTTCCTCCCTACTAGATTGACTTTTAATTAAAAGAGTTCGGTAGTCCTATGAAGGTCTCTTGAAAGCGCGCAACAGCCGAAAAAATTCATGCCAACACTTGATGAAACTTCAAGAAGCGGAACTTCCTCGAAAGCAGATCTGAAATGAATCCTGAGTGATATCACCACCAGATATCCTTCAGTTTACACGAAGATCAGTTCTATTGTCCGACGAAGACGTCTCGATTTAGGCTCCATACAAAGACCCATCGAAACCAGCATAAACTGAGTGTTCAAAAGTTAGACCTTTTTAGAAAAAGGTCTCTAGCATACAGCGGAGCGTTCAGACATCTGAACTTGATGACAGCCCATCTGGAAGTTCAAATAAATTGTGTCTGATAGCAGGCCTATCTATTGTTAGTATACCAAATGTGGGCAGAGCTGGGCCTTCTTTCGTAACAAAATATTTCGTAAATATCTGAAGTGCCCGCACTTTTACTCTGCAAGCGAATTTACCATGGTTTTAAGAGCAGTAGGTCCACTTCTCGCTTCTTAGATTCAAAAACAATAATATTTATAAGTAGATCCTTCACCATTGATATCGCTCCTCATTTTTTAAATGTTATGGCAAAATTTTTCCCACAGACAAGGCATCAAATGGGTCAAGCAGAAATATCAGAACAACCTAATGGTCGTGCGACTCACAATGAAAAACTATCTCGACATGGTGGAGAAGGCTGTATCCAATGGAAATGTACTACTAATCGAAAACATTGGCGAAAATGTAGACGCCGTACTCAATCCACTTCTCGGACGTATGTTGATAAAGAAGGGCACCTGCCTCAAAATGGGCGATCGAGAAATCGATTTCAATCCTAAATTTCGACTCATCCTACACACGAAATTGGCTAATCCGCATTACAAGCCCGAAATGCAAGCGCAAACTACTCTCATCAATTTCACAGTGACACGCGATGGCTTAGAGGATCAGCTGCTCGCAGAGGTGGTGAAAGTTGAGCGACCCGACTTGGAGGTTATGCGCACACGTTTGACGCAGCAACAGAATCATTTCAAAATTACATTAAAGTTCCTAGAAGATGATCTATTGCAGCGCTTGTCTTCGGCGGGAGAGAACGTTTTGGAGGATGTTACGCTTGTGATGAATTTGGAAAAAACCAAAAAGACGGCAGATGAGATTGAGGTTAAGGTAGCGGAAGCGAAAATTACAGCTGTGCAGATCGATACGGCACGTGAAGCTTACCGTCCAGCTTCGGAACGCGCGTCGATTATTTATTTTATACTCAACGATCTCTTTAAAATCAATCCGATATATCAGTTTTCACTGAAAGCCTTTACCGTTGTCTTCTCAAATGCCATGCAACGCGCCATAGCCGCTGAAAAGCTGAAAGACCGTGTAGAGAACTTGATTGATTCCATTACCTACTGTAGTTTCTTGTACACCTCACGTGGTCTTTTCGAAGCCGACAAGCTGATCTTCTTAACACAAATGTGTTTGCAAATACTCATCAGCGCTGGCGAGGTTGAGCATGCCGAACTGGACTTTCTTCTGCGTTTCCCTTACATGCCGAACCAGACATCCCAATTGTCGTTCCTCACCAATGTGGGCTGGGGTGGCATACGGGCGTTGAGCAATTTGGCTGCATTTAAAAATCTAGACAAGGACATTGAGGGCTCACACAAACGCTGGAAGAAGTTTGTTGACTCCGAGTGCCCTGAACGTGAAAAGTTTCCCGGTGAGTGGAAGACGAAATCGGCTATCCAGCGACTGTGTATTATGCGCTGTATACGACCTGATCGCATGTCTTACGCGATGCAAGTATTCATTGAGGAAAAGCTAGGTAGCAAGTATATAGATGCTAGATCAATGGAATTCGCTAAAACTTTCGAAGAGACCAGTCCCGAAACGCATGTATTCTTCGTACTCTCACCAGGTGTTGATCCATTAAAAGATGTCGAGAAGTTGGGCAAAGTTATGGGCTATCATGGGGACAACGAAAACTTTCACAGCGTGTCGTTGGGTCAGGGACAGGAAGTTGTCGCTGAAAACTCCATAGACACCGCTTCGCGTAAAGGCCATTGGGTTATACTGCAGAACATACACTTAGTAGCGCGGTGGCTGCCAACGTTGGAGAAGAAAATGGAAGCATCTCTCATAGACGTAAACCCAAATTATCGTCTCTTCTTGAGCGCCGAACCAGCGCCCGATCCCGCCTTTCACATACTACCGCAAGGTATACTCGAATCGGCTATTAAGATCACAAACGAGCCGCCCACTGGCATGCAGGCGAATATACACAAGGCTTTAGATAACTTTAATGATGAAACTCTCGAGATGTGCTCCAAGGAAACCGAATTCAAGGCAATTCTCTTTGCTCTTTGCTATTTCCACGCCGTGGTAGCTGAGCGTCGCAAGTTTGGTCCCCAAGGCTGGAATCGTGTCTACCCCTTCAACGTGGGTGATCTTACAATATCTGTTTATGTGCTCTATAACTATCTGGAAGCGAATACACGTGTACCATGGGAGGATTTGCGCTACCTTTTCGGGGAAATAATGTACGGCGGTCATATAACGGACGACTGGGATCGTCGACTTTGTCGCACATACCTGCAAGAGTTCATGCAACCCGAACTGATAGATGGCGATTTGCAATTCTGTCCAGGCTTTCCTGCGCCCGGCATTTTGAAATATCAGGGCTATCATAATTACATCGATGATAATCTACCAACCGAGAGCCCAACTCTCTACGGCCTCCATTTGAACTCGGAAATTGGTTTTTTAACAACAGTATCAGAACGCCTTTTTCGCATCGTTTTCGAGCTACAGCCGCGCATTGCTGGAGCCGAGTCAGGCGGTGGTGAAGCGCAATCACAGGAGGATGTTGTAAAGAGCATGATTGAGGATCTACTCGACAAGATACCATCACCATTTAATATACCCGAATTAATGGCGCGTGTTGAGGACCGCAATCCCTATATTATCGTCGCCTTTCAGGAATGTGAACGCATGAATATATTAATGAATGAATTGAAGCGTTCGCTACATGAGCTGGAGTTGGGTTTGAAGGGCGAACTGACGATTTCATCAATTATGGAGGCACTCATGCAATCACTGTTCATGGATCAAGTGCCCGAGACGTGGACAAAGCTTGCCTATCCCAGTCTATTGGGGCTGCAATCGTGGTTTGCCGATTTACAACAGCGTCTGCATGAGTTGGAAGGTTGGGTAGCCGACTTTCGTATGCCTTCCTCCATTTGGCTAGGTGGTTTCTTCAATCCACAGAGTTTGCTCACGGCTATTATGCAGCAAACGGCACGTAAGAACTCTTGGGCATTGGATCGAATGTGTCTGAATTGTGACGTGACCAAGAAGACCAAAGAGGAGATCACGTAAGGCTACAGAAGGATGCGGTTAGGATATGTCGTTTAGCGTTTTCTTTTATTTTGCATATTCAGCGCACCACCCAAAGAAGGCTCTTATGTGAATGGTCTATTTATGGAGGGCGCACGCTGGGACATGAAAATGGGCACCATAGCAGATGCATTTCTTAAGGAACTTTTTCCACCTATGCCCGTTATTTTTATCAAGGCGGTTTTGTTGGACAAGCAGGACACTAAAAATATTTACGAATGTCCTGTTTACAAAATACGGTAAGTCTACTTTGCTTTATTACAAAAACTAGTCGATATAAGGGGCCTAAGTTTATGTAAAATTTTACTTTTGCTTAGCAATTTTATATTAAACGCACGATTTAACATTTGGGTGCTCACATTTCATATTTAACGAATGCACTTACCTTATGGAAGTCACAAAAACTTACAAACCTTTTTTTTCTAGGGGAGATATATATTCAAACTACAATTTGTAATCAGAATTTATCTTTATCTCTTAATATTCCACTTTTATATTTGGATTACTCCAGTGATTAGTTGAGACAGAAATAGTACATCCGAACACTGGGAAGTGGGTCTCTTTGATTGCTCGAATATGCATGAATAATTGCTATTTTTGTTATAAACCTCAAATATTTCCGGGTTATTCGAATGAGTAACTTCCCTAATTGTTTGGAACATATGCTGCTGTGGTTGACTATGTGTGGCATATAATTCCACATACGATTATTCTCGAGTTCGGTAAAAAAGGCATACTGTGGGTTAGTTTCATAGAAAAGCAATAATTTTTGTGATAAAGATAAAGATAAAGATAAAGATAAAGATAAAGATAAAGATAAAGATAAAGATAAAGATAAAGATAAAGATAAAGATAAAGATAAAGATAAAGANTATAGATATAGATATAGATATAGATATAGATATAGATATAGATATAGATATAGATATAGATATAGATATAGATATAGATATAGATATAGATATAGATATAGATATAGATATAGATATAGATATAGATATAGATATAGATATAGATATAGATATAGATATAGATATAGATATAGATATAGATATAGATATAGATATAGATATAGATATAGATATAGATATAGATATAGATATAGATATAGATATAGATATAGATATAGATATAGATATAGATATAGATATAGATATAGATATAGATATAGATATAGATATAGATATAGATATAGATATAGATATAGATATAGATATAGATATAGATATAGATATAGATATAGATATAGATATAGATATAGATATAGATATAGATATAGATATAGATATAGATATAGATATAGATATAGATATAGATATAGATATAGATATAGATATAGATATAGATATAGATATAGATATAGATATAGATATAGATATAGATATAGATATAGATATAGATATAGATATAGATATAGATATAGATATAGATATAGATATAGATATAGATATAGATATAGATATAGATATAGATATAGATATAGATATAGATATAGATATAGATATAGATATAGATATAGATATAGATATAGATATAGATATAGATATAGATATAGATATAGATATAGATATAGATATAGATATAGATATAGATATAGATATAGATATAGATATAGATATAGATATAGATATAGATATAGATATAGATATAGATATAGATATAGATATAGATATAGATATAGATATAGATATAGATATAGATATAGATATAGATATAGATATAGATATAGATACAGAGCGCGAACATTTTGTTAAAACCACATTTCGCGCTCTTAAACTTCTCTATTACAATATTTCGTTATCACGTCTTTACTAAAAATATTATTTATTTATACACAATTAACCCACTGTGCGCTACTGTAGCACAAAAATATTCAAATTCTCTAAAAGATGACATACAAATAATGAGAAAATTAAGCCTTTGTCTCTTTCGGTATACATACATCAACATGCAATTAATCAACCATACATAAAACAGTTAGAGTACATACATACACACATATATGCATGTTGGCCCGCATTTAATCACAAGCTTTTTAACTCCACATTTCTTTGTCCATTTCAATGGCTCTGCTCCATACGCTCGTTCTTTGCATGCATTCAACTCCCTTTCTCAATCTATTTCCGCACTTGGCCACTAATCTTCTGTGAGTGTTCACTACACACACTCATTGCTTTTTGGCGCCTTTTTCATTTACATTTCAATTTAGCAAAGTGCCAAAAGCAAAGTCTGGCTTCGTACATTCCCGTTGTGCTCTTATCATTTACTTCAAATGCTTATCAATGCGTACAGAGCAGAGCTCAAAAGTCTTCTTCTCCACTCCCTTAGTGTGAAATCTAAGCTGAAAAATAAGACCTCGGCTCAAGATTTGCGACGGAAAAGTGTGAAATCGCAAGGTTCTAATGCCTAAAAACTCCTGCATGATTATTGTGAAAAAGAGAGGAAAGAGGCAGCATCGCGCAGTCACATGTACATACATGCAAACATATAAAAATTTGTGGCTACCAAAGGCATTAGCTACTCGTTGGCTCACCAAAAGCTCGTAGGTACTTCTCAGCTGACTTTGGCACAAAGTAAAGTGGATTTTCAGTGTGTGAATGAGTGTGTGTGTGTATGAGTGTGTGCGTTAAGGAAATTGGCTTGAAGCTCAATTTGGGAGTAGTTTTCAGTTTTTAATAGCCCGCTAAAGTAGCCAACAACAACAGTGTACGTATGTTTCTATACAGCTATTGACTTTTAGCATCACACACATACAGAGACTCTAAACTTATACATATTGAAAAATGTGCGTGAGTGCTCCATAGGCGACGCTCAGTCTAAGTGTTTGTTTACATATTTTGCTCTTCTTTCCCAGCTGACTTTTCCTCGTTGATGTCGTAAGCTTTTCTTTTTTTATGTTATGCCATTTTTTCTCACGTTTTTTTTCTACTGCCGTTGACGACGACATTTGACGTTGATAATTTGTGCGCAGCTACTCATAATGAAACTCATCATCGAACGTCGACAGCAGCAAGTACACAAGACGATAGTTGAGAAAATACAATAGAAACAACAAAAAAGCCAATAAACGCCAACACACAAAGTGTATGTGTATGTATGTGTGCTTGTGAACCATGTGTGGAGCAAAAAAAATGTGAAAAATCCACTTTCCGCTGAAGCGTATATAATTGCATGCCTTCCTGTGAGGCGTTGGCAGCGCAGTCTCTACCTCACTACCCATTTCGCTTGGTTGCCGGAAATGGTTGACGAAATTTCTATGTAACAAATATATTCCATAATCGATGTTACAGCATTTTTAACCACTTCACTTTTTGGATTTTAATGTGATTTTAAATTTCATATTTTCCAATCGCTACTTGTGCTGGGATGTGTTAGGGAGGTTTAAAGAAAATACTGTGCAACCAATTTCAACGTCAAAACGTTTTGTGCTGGTTTATTAAAGACTTTTATGAAAACAAATAAATTAATAAAATAAAATAAATTAAAAAAAAAATAAAACGAAAAAAAAATAAATATATAAAATAAATATAATTAAAATAAAATAAAACAAAATAAAATAAAATAAAATAAAACAAAATAAAATAAAATAAAATAAAATAAAATAAAATAAAATAAAATAAAATAAAATAAAATAAAATAAAATAAAATAAAATAAAATAAAATAAAATAAATTATTTGACAACAAAATTAAATTAAATAAAACAAAAGAAAAGAAAAGAAAATTAAAAAATAAAAACTAATTAAAATTAAAATAAATGAACTAAAACAAATCAAAATAAAGTAAAATAAATTAAAATAAAGTAAATTAAAAAAAAAGATTATGAAAAAGATAAATAAAAATATAAAATAAGTATAATTAAAATTAAATTAGATAAACTAAATTTAATTAAAATATAATAAATGAAAATAAAGTAAACTCCAATACAATATCATAAATTGAAATAAATTAAAATAAAATAATATAACTTAATTTAAAATAAAATAAATCGGAAAAAATTAAAGATATTATAATAAAATAAAATTGAACGAAATTAAATTAAATTTAATAAAATAAAACTAAATCATATAAAAGAAAATACAACACAAAAATAAAATAAATAATTAATAAAGTAAAATAAAATATTATAAGGAAAAGAAATTAGTAAAGCACAATAAAAAAAAACTAAATAAAAAAATTAAAAAAACGATGCTAAATGCAATGCCATGAAATAAATTTAAATAAGGCAAAATAAACTGAAAAAAAAATATAATAGTAAAATAAAAAAAAATTGAATAAAAAAATTATTAAAATACAATAAAATTAAATAAATCAAATAATAAATACTTAATTTAAGTAAGTAAAACGAAAAAATTTATTATTTAAAATAAATTTTTATGAAATTTAACGAACTAAAATAAAATTAACTGAAAAAAACAATATAAAATAAAAAATAAATAAATTTAATAAAAAATATATAAAATGTAATAAAATTATTTTAAATAAAAAAATAAATTAAAATAAAATGAAAGCCAACTAAATTAAATAAAATGAACTAAAGTAAAATAAAACAAGATACAATAAAAATGATAAAAAATAAAATAATGATATCATGAAATAAAATCAAACCAAGCAACTTACAAATAAAATATAAAAGAAAGAAAAAAGGAAAAAAAACAAACAAAACAGGAAAATGAATGCAATTCAAAGAAGCAAAAAAAAATTTGTGGTTCTTTCTTTGAACCACCCTAATAAACATATATTTTATATCCTTATGCTTTAAAGTATGTTGCTAGCTGTGTCCTTGCAAGTATTAACTTACTATTGTTGAAGAATTGAGAGCAGTTTTATTGATAAATAGCGGATTGTCTCCGTCCGAGGCTGCGTATGAAATCTGCTATAATTCATTTTCCGTCATCTCCATAAACACCACACAGATCTAATGCATTGATCATAAAATGTTAGATGTAGTGGATAGTCTAAGAGTCAGGAATCTACTTCTATAGAAGTAAAATTTCAGCCCCCAAGCCACCTAAAAAAATTCTGTATTCATAACCAAAAATGAAAATCACAAACATTCTTTAAAATTTTACAAAATCACAAACCACAAACAAACATTCCTTCTTTCCTACATGCATGCATATTCTTTTTCTATCTCCCAGCTCAAATATTATCTTCGCTCTTTACAGCATGCGCGGTCCTACCTTCGTTTGGACGTTCAACTTGAAGACGAGAGAAAAGGCTGCCAAATGGACGTTGGCCGGTGTTTGCTTACTGCTGCAAATCTAAAAATGTATTTACACAAACGAACAAAGGGACAAAGGAAGTGGAGTAAGTGAAGTGAGCATAAAAGGATAACAGCTTTAATGGCATTGGCAGCGTGTGCTTTCACTTGGATCAACCAACGTAAGAGTCGTACAAGTCGCACAACTCACGATGAATGTCCTTTTGGCTTAACTCGACTTGACAAATTTATTTGTATTTCTTTTCAAATTCACATACATATTTTATATTTTTATAATACAAATATTATGGAGACACATACTTTAAACCACAATTTTGTAAATTTATTATCAATGCGCGGTTTTCTTTACAAAACTGGTGATGACTTGAAGTTTTCGAAGACGGGTATGCTTTTATGAAAGATGAACGGAATATATGAAACTGTGGTCGAGTAATGCGTATATATTTTCCACAGGTGTCATATTCCAACAAAGAGCGACGTAAGCAGGTATTAAAAAACGCTCTCGTTGCTTTGAAAAAGAATTTTTTTTACCTTTAAATGATATCTCAGGCCTTCAAAATTGAACTAAATCCCTTTTCACCCAGCCATGCCTTCAAGTTTGGAAGCAAAAAATTGTCTAAAGGGCTAAATCTTTCCAAAAGCTCCGAGTAATATTGGAACATGACCGTTTTTATGGATGAACGTTCAGTGACCATTTTTTATGAACGCTAAGAACGCACTTTGCAGCGCCGTCAACATGGATACATGGCTGTCACCTGGTCGAAAAACTCACAACCAAATCGATCATGTTGGCAGGCATGTCACTGTTATTCTAGACATAGCTGCGCAACGAGAACCCAAAATGCAACTCGCACTCTGTGCAACAGATGAATGCGAATCAACAAAAACAAGAATGGTTCGATGTCAAAAATCAAAGCAGACAGCGGAACGGCTTAAAGTCGACTGGCTCTTTGGGAGTACTCATCAGCAAAACTATATAAACGATATGTAGGGCGGTATTTCGAGTTTTCTGCATGCAGCTGCAAAATAATTGGTTTTCAAAACGATCAAGATAGGAGTAGGTGTGATGAGGATTGTCTGTGGCTGCCTCCCAAAAGAAAAAGAAAGCGAGACGCCTATAATGCGGCGACTAACAAAAAGTGTCAAGGCCAGAATGATTTCATATAGAAAACAGATGCCCAAAAATACTGAATTAATGAAGGAAATACTTCTCCAGCCTGCTAAATGGCAGTGAAAATGGAACACTAGGACTTAGCAAACCCGATCTTCTAATCCATGACGATAGAACAGGCAATCCATGTGCCAATTCTAGGAAAGGATCCCTGAGAAAAAACATTGTACGAATTTGGTATCCTACAAAACTCACAGAACTTAGTAAATCGACTCCTAAAGCGCCGTCATGATCGGAACAGAATCCCTCTGAGCCGTGTAATATCGAATGAGGTATCAGATAGCATACATATCTCTTTATCATGAGGGTTAAACAGAGAAGTACAATTTTCTATAAAAGCAACTCCTGACGTACATATGTTGGTGATTAATACCATCAGCCCTAACAGTGACGCCGTAACCTCTGCTTTTTCCGGAGGAAGTGAGGCAAATCAGTTTGAAAGTGAAGGAGTAAAAGACGAACTATGTCCAGTCATCAAACAATAATTCAGGGTATAACTGCCTAGGCTCCCACGTGACTATTGACAGTTATAACCTTTAAGTCATTGATAATTTTGTCTATCTAGAAACGACAACGTCAATCATTCTCGTTCTACTGTTATATGGTTCAACAGCGTGGACGATGACGAGATCTGATGAGTACGCTTTGGATATCTTCGGGAGAACGGGTTTGCAAAAGATTTATGGTATTCGACGTGTAGGCGACTTCAAGTGCCAAAGACAATAGACCGATGAACTCTACGAGGTATACGACGACATCGAAATACTTAAGCTCCATACGAATGGGCGACTAACTCCAACCTCGAAAGCATTCGATGCAGTACCCAATGGACCCAGCAAGGGAAAACAAAGACCTCCCTTGCATTAGTAAGATTGGGTGGAGAAGGACCTGGCTTTACTCGATGTTGCCTATTGCGGTCGACCAATCAAAAGAAGAAATGGCTGGCGCTGTTTGTATTCATGTTTCGCCACAAGAATTTGTTCGGATTGCGGCTGGTCAACGCCTTCGTCAACCACATGGTCATATAAAATATCAGTTACTTGCTCATTTGAGATGCATCCAGTCTTAACCAATTTCATACTCAGATCGTTTAATACTTTTATCAGAATTATCTAAAAAGTTGTATCATCATCATCACTCTGAAGAGGATAGGTTCTCCCTCGACTTGTATGAGAAAAGGTCCTCCAAAAGCGATCTAGTGGTCTACACTGGTCACTTCGAGCGAATACTCTATATTCCTTAGGAGAATTGAATAGGGACAAGAAAAAGAACAGAACCACAAACCCTCAGATATCTTTTCGTTTTAATGGCACTTTTACTAAGAGGCATGGATGGTATTTAACTCCACCAGATTTTTTTTTTTTCTTCTTAAAGCATTGAAAGAATTGCTTGCCTACTCTCTATGGCCACATGAGGCGGCAGGGAAGGGATAGACTACATCGTGCTCCTATTTCGATTATTAGTGGAACCCAAAGAGTATCCGTGAGGAACTAAAACTGAATGGGGCACATCGATCCAAGTAAGGCAAAAATGGAGAATGATTTTAAACTAAATTAGATAAGCAGGCCGAAGTAAACTTATCCACACACCGCGTGGTCTACTCACCACATCATCGCAGCTCAACATCTGACTATCGCAGCTACCTCTACTGGGATTGCAATCATATTACTACATAATGCATTTTCAATATATAAATATATATATATATATAAATACATTAAAAAAATTCACTTTCCACGAAGGAGTTTACCGCGTCAAGCACACGTACCCACACCCCAATTGAGTAAATGTGGCACGTGTGTCACCAGAGTTTGATAAGCGCTCCAATGCCAACGCGTCACATGCCACTGACAGCTAACTGACTGACATTTGCTGATGCACTGAGTGGCCGCTTGACACACACACATACACACAAGCAAACACACACACACACCACACACAAATATACAGGCAAAAGTAAGACCAACGACAGTAGTTCATCAACCAGTTAACATTGCCAACAGCACAAAACACAATGCCCAACCGCAAATTACAACATTTGTGGCAAGCGCTCCCGCTGGCCCGTGGCCTACAACGAATTACCATGGGCGAGTTGTAGAGCAAAAAAAAAGAGAAAAAAGTCGGCAGTAAACAAATGTGAATGGCAAGAGCGAGTCCAATAATAAACTCAGATGCGAGCAATATTTGTATTTCATGCGGCTACTGCACTTGGCCTATGGTTACGAGCTCAGCCGTTTCCCAGCCAATACCCTTGCCACTCTCGCCACCCTCGCTTTTCATGGAGCCACCGTCGCTTGCACTGCTGCCTGCGTCTACTCAAGTGTATAATTTATATGCATGCAACACATTTATAACCGACGCGACGCGGCATTGCATTCATGAGGCATACAGCGCCAACACTTCTCCCAGCCACTCCACAATGGTGTCGGGTTCATTTATGTGTGAGTCGCGCATAAAGCGCTGACGTTGGCATTTATTGCTGATATTTTGTAATGGAAGTTTATGGTGGTGCGCTTTTGGGTAACGGCATGCGAGGGGTTTTAAATATATATGGGCATGTGTATGTATGTGTTTGTGGTGCCCGTTTCGGTGCACTTTGAACTCAAATTTAATTTGTGCCAATTTTTCATGATTTAAGCGAGCGCGAAACTCTCCGTTTAAGAAGGAGTAGTAAGCCCACAATCCACGTACACACACGTACACACACATTAACACACACGGTCGTTCTACGCTAAATGAAACCCAAAAATGCTCTGCGCGCTGGAACTCGCGGCATATTTTCCAAGCCATCAAACAAACCCCCGTTCGTAACTTCCGACTTCCGCTGAGTGATGGCAATAGCCGGAAATTGTTTCAAACTAAACTACTATACGAGCTTGGCTATAAAGATGTGCGCTTTCATATGTATATGTATATATAAACTCACACATGCAAACGAACGAGCTCCCATTTGTAGTGGAGCTGCGAATTCTTGATCCAATTACTTTTTAGACCTCCAGCACGAGTCAACGAAGGCATTAAAATTTTAAAATTCTAATTTCCACCGCGCGACTCATGTGCCCTCTGCCGCGACTGATTAACACCGCTTTGTACGACGCTGACGCATTCACTGCACTCTGCGCGCCATTTGTGAGTTTTTAGAAATTAAAAATTTGAAGTTTGATCGATACTATTGAAAAACGGCAATCGCCGCTGCGCCACCTCAACCACAATTGCACAACACTAGTAATCGGCTGTACGCCCTGCGTCCACCACCAACTAACAAGCACTCTCCGCCTCCCCTTCAGCTCGCCCTCGGTCACGTGGCTCAGCCCAGTTGAGCGTTTAGTTACACTAACTCCACTTACATGCCTCATTGTGTGTCCTCGATGGGCGCGTTTACGAGCCGCAAGCTTTGTGTTGTGAGCTTGTGGCACAATTGGCATTAGCGGTCACTTTACAGTTAACAGCTCGCTTGGCAAGTGCCGCATCTGGGTAGTGTGCGCATAGTGTTACAGCATTGTGTAATAGAAAAAAATTATTCAAATCAAGCTTGTGTGTGTGTGTGTGGAGAAAAAATTTTAATGTCTAGTATGGAAGTGTTGGAGACGGAGGAGTCGACGCGCCCAGCGGTTGCTTTAACGTCATTGCCGGCCAATGATCCGCGGCTGGAATTTATCAGCTCATTCACATTGAGTTCATTGCGTCTCAAGCAGGATAAATGGCATCGCATGATGGCGACGGACTCTTTTCGGGTGAGTATCTACGAGTTCAGGAGATGTCATAAAGTAAAAGGGCATCAAATTTGAATATTCGGGAGCTTGACAGGGTTGGTGAAGGAGTAGACCAAGGTGTTTGAATCGTAGTCTCGCATTGGCAGGGCACTGGGTTAGAGAGTACTTAAATAATTACACAAAGGATCGTCTCAGCCAATTGATGTCAGATAAAGCACCACCCAATAATTTACTTTATTACCGAGTAGGCGGTTGTGTGGTTAGGATTGTGTACCGCCACTCGGAAGGCATGGTTCGAGTGCCGGCTCTCAGCATGTTTACCTCTCCAAGTGTATTTCTGACATGAAATAAAAAAGCGCCTTAAAAGAAACCATCAGCCTTTCGGATGCGGCTTAGTATAAACTGTAGGTCCCTCCAATTGTTGGAAAAATCGACCACCAATTTGAGTAGGAGCTCGGCCGAAAATCGCTTCAGCGGTTACAAAACGCCAATTATATAAGATCGAGTAACGAGCAATCGAAAGCGAGCACCCGATTGTGAGAAGCTTTTCAGGTCTGCCGTAAGGGACAAGCCATCCAGTAATTCAGCTGTTGCGAGACAGCTGGTTAATTATGCTTAAGGAATAAATCCAAGTGTTCTAAAGTGACGTAGAATATTTCTATATCCAAATTGAAGTGATCGTTCTACCATTTCCACTAGGAGTGACTTCTGCTAAACACTACGCCGGACCGGTAGTTTGAAGCTGTAGCGAGTAGTGGGACCTCGGCAGAAAATTTTGTGTGGGAAAAAGATGATTTCTGCCTCTAATAACTTTGTCATCTGGAGTCACTGCTCGAAATGACAGTCAGTCTTTTGAAAACCAATGTGTTTAGCCCGCACCATACAGAAATCCTTTTCAACTTTAATCTTAAATTTAAAAAAAGTTTTCGCCCCAACCCCTACTCCTTCCGCAAACACTCAACAGCAAAAAAATGTTTTAAATAGTCATGCGAGCGGGGATCAAGACCCACCAGAGACTCCTAACCAAAGTGAATACCAAAAACTACTTTGAGGTTTCACTAAAAAAACAGTACGGAGGGCATCCATTGCGATTAACTCACTCCCGCAGAATTTCAATTCGAGTGACCTCTCACTACCGATATCAGGAAATCAGTAATTTATCATACATAACCATCTTCACTGCAAACTAAACTCATTACTTCACCAAGACTCACACACTCACAACTTTCAATACAAAAAAAAACAAAAAATCTCTTTTAACGCCTCTAAGCCGGAGCCTTCACAATTTTCCAGATCATTATGTTTGATTGGCTGCACAGCGATCAGCAGCGGCTCCTGGTTATGACGCTCAATCATAGCGGATATTTGGTACCGAAAATTGCGCTCAGTGACTTGAGCCACAATTATGCGCTGCAATCAAGCTTAAACTCAACACCAACAACGGCAACTGCAACAGCAGCACCAACAACAGCCACAAGCGGAGCAGTTGTACCAACAGCCATAATAGACCCCTTTTCTGCCTCCACAACAAATCCAGCTGACCACAGAACAGCAACAACTCCCGCACCAAGAACGAAAACTAATGATATTGACTCACCCACCACAAATACCGTCACAGCCACCGCCCCCAGCGTCGTTCCAAGTGCTATTGCTGCTTCAGCTGCTGCCGTTGCAGCGGCAGCTGTTATGATGTTGCCAATGCCGCCACCTTCTAGCAGCTTCTCGACACTCGATGGCGTGCCGCGTGGCAAATGCGTTTACTTTGTGCGTCGAAGCGCGAACATACCGCTGACCGCAGCTAGTTTCCGTACGCAAATACTGTGTGGCGATTTGCCAGTGCACAGCAAAATAGAAACTTTGTCATTGCTTTTCGATGAAGTCTTTCAGCCATTGCTCGAGTGTCCACTCAATCGGAAATCATGGCCGCAGCCGGTGCAAAAGGATTTGCAAATACGCATCAAGGAGGTGCGCAACACGCTAGTTGAGGTGAGTTGAAGCTATTGCCGAACGAAAATAAACCAAAAGTTATTTCGAGCTATGAGAAGATAAATATAGATTGAAATGAAGGGGAGAGTTTATTTACAAAATGAAATCTTAGTAATATTAGGAATAAAAAATTAAAATCGACTAAGCAACTTGTAGAAAAGCATTACTTAGTGCCCACTTTAGCATACTTACAGGCGCAGCAAGTTTTCGGTATGATTCTTTTCGTTGAAGCACCGCGTTATGTAATTCTCAAAAGGCCTATGATTGGCATTTCTGAATGAATTAATGAACTTTTCTCACATTCTCCCCGACAAACCACTAATTTTTTATCGGGCTGCATTTTACTACATTTATTTAATTAATTTAATTTAGTTAAATATTTTAGTTCATTCTCCACGTTTTTAGTTTGAAAAGACTCCTTATTGTATTAAATTGAATAAAGCTTTGATGAAACCACTTTTGACAGCACGAGAAAGATCTAACTTTATAGCAACGCGCCAGAATTTGATATCGGCTGCGTAAACTGTCGCTGAACATCACCTACGAAAGTAATTCATTTTTTTGCAATAGACGCGTGGCGTTCTGTAGCGCGGTTAGTTAACGCCAGATAGCTTTGAAAAGATAATATTTTTTATTAAATAAAATCACGGTGTCGATCACTTAACTTAATAATATTTGAGTGCAAGTCAAAGATTTTCAAAAGCCAAGAGAAAATACGCCTTATTCTAGAACTCTTCTTCGGTAAAGGTCGATAAAGAAACGGAAATGGCGGAGTCTGAGCTTCAATTACCCAGAAACAGTTTGGAACTACTTGAAAAATGCTGTGCCATATGAGTTAACGATAAAAAAAATTCGTGAAGCGAATTTCCATTTGCGAATCACTGCAATCGTAACAATCTGAAGGGGATGGTGGCTGATGATAAAAAGGGGATCACTTGTCAATGTCAAATGAAAACACTTGTGATCGAAGGATGGTGAGTCGGCTCAAACCAAGCCAGGATTGAAGGTTTTCATATGTGTTTGATGGGATTAGCAAGTAATCAACCACTATCGACTACTCCCCTCTGCCAAACCCTTAGTTCGGGCCTGTACGGTCAGTAATTGAAGCTTCTTAAGAAAGCATTCGCCCAGTCTTGACCAACACGAGAGGAATTGTGTTTCATCAGAACAACGACAGGCCACAAACATTGATAGTGACTCACCAGAAGCTTCGAAAGCTTGATTTTATGCATCTGTATTACAGTCCAGACCCCGCAGTAGTTGGTGAGTGCCATCTGTTCCTGTATATGACGAATTAGGCTGGTGAAGGGTAGCCTGTGAAAAATGCTAATATAGACACGATGGACCTGCTAGTGAACGAAGGCAAGGCGATAAGGAGACATATCGTCATCAAACAAACAGTCGGGGCATTCTCGTTTTGCCGGTACGTCACTGTTAACAGTCGTAACTATGAAGATATAGTTAATGTCAGCCTTGAAATCCGAAGCTGAGACACTCTTTCAGTCGGCATAAGGTGCTTTCGAGGGCAAGGTTTTGCCAACGAATCAAACTATGACATATTTATGGTGTGTGACTTTGAGTAAAAGAAGAACCCTTCAAAGGGTCCATAGAACCTTTAAGATAAAAGTTATAGAGGGGTTCAGTGCAGCCCCGATGATAATTTGTCCATATGTATATATAGCGCCAATTATATGAATTCATACTTAAGCGCTTTGAAACCGCTAAAGCTATTTTCGGCCCGCTGAAGCTGTTTCGTAACTTAAGCGCTTCTGGTGGCTTTTCACCTTTAATCTCACCTCCGACAATTTTCTCTCTCCTTTCTTTTAAATATCTTTCGGGTGACGGCCTGAACTACATTGCAAGCTTCAAACATATAAAGCCGTTTGGAGCAAAGTGTTTTATTTTTTACTTTTTAACAAAAATTGGTTTTGCCTGAATTTTTTATTTTTAACAGCTTATATATTTATCAGCTTTATATGTAATTATATGTGTAGTTAATATAATAAACTCATTCATACCGCGATTTAAGCTCTCCGCCAATACAATATTTTCATACCAAAAACTTAAGGAACTGATATACCAGAGTACTCGCACTCTTCGGTCTTAATAGGCAACTTTTGTGTCACATCACTAGTGCTTCAGGCCAAAAGTTGCTACTCTGGTTCTTTCTTGTTTATTTTTAGACTTTCTGTGGGAAACTTTTTTTTACCCCAAATATTATCTACCATCACCATACTTTAATCAACGTTTTTGCGCCATAATCATTTCTTTTCTGTATTGGGGAGGAATGTTTTTATTAAGAGGAACGGAAGTGCGGGCACACAACACCAACTAGATCAAGGTTGAATAGCAGGTAGGACTCCACAAATGTAGGATTACCCATTTTGTGGTTTCAAAAGTTAGAGCCCTGTACTTTTTTGACTTTGGTCAAACCTAACTGTCAAACCAATGAATGATTGAAAGTCAGGAATTTATAAAATAGTTGAAATCTACAACAAAAATCGTGATTCAAATATGGTCATGTCTCGAGCTCTAAAAGGAGCTTATGGTGCACGTAATCGTCTAACTACTCAAACAATTGGTGAAATTTTCAAGAAATTTTAAGAGGCTGGATCGGTTACAGATATTGTAAGGCTTGCGCAACATCGTCTTGTTCGGTCCACCTCAATAATCAATATCAGATGCTTGAACAACAGTGAACGGCGATTTTTCGAACAAAATTTATTTCTAGCAACGGGGCACAATTCTCATTCGGGGGATACGTATAAAGCAAAAATGTTGAATTTGAAATAACGAGAAATCTCAAATAACTAAAGGGAGGCCATTATAACCAGAAAAAAGTTTACAGTCTGGTGTGCTCTGTGGTCCCAAAAGGTGTAGGGAATATGGTTTTATTGGGAGAGCAATTTCCCGCCCGCGTAATCTCTCGTCTTGGCGATGTCAATTGGGCACCGGAAGCAATCAAATTGACACTGTTGAAATAGACCTTTAACTCTTGATCACTTGAAAACCAGCATTCGACAATTTAGGAGCCAAGTACTTTCCAACAACTTTGTGCTACAAAGTGGTTGAAAATTTCCTCCAACGGAGCGAAGTTTACAAATAATCGAGAAAGAGTCTCTTATAATACCAAGGTTCAAACTTTTTAATAAAAAAAGGAATATTTAGGTTTGTTTTCTAAACCGCAAAAATCATAGCCCATTGATATAAGTATCTACGTTTTACTATGCGTGACTGCAGTAGCCGAGTGATTAGTACGTAGTATCCTGCCAAACAGCATGGTTTCAAAAATTGATCAAAGCAATATGCAAAAGTTAAAGGAAATAAATTTTTCTTATTGCGGTCGCCCCGCGGTAGGGATTGTCAAGCTATCCGACTGCTTTTTTTTGATATGAAATAAAACCCTCTACCTAAAACGCCATCAGTCATGCGAAACCGGCTTAGAATGAACTGCAGCTCCATCCATTTGCTCGAAATACGTTAAGACGCGCATCACAAATTAGAGGAGAAGCTCGGCCGAAAATCTCTGCAGCAGTGCATACGTATATGGGATATACATATATATGTATTATACTGATATGTATTTACATTAATCTAATTGAGAATATTGCAAACAATAGCGCCAGATAAATAGAATCAATGTGGGGGAAAGCGGGGAGGGAGGAAGCAGCAACGATGCGAACATGGACGTGTGCGTGCCTATTTTTGCTAATTGGCAAAAGTTTTCATGTCTGACTTTTATGCACGAGTATTAAACTTATTCTTATGTACATACATACACGTATACATACATATGTGCGTACTGCTACCCTGTTGGTTTTTTTTTTATTATTTTTTTATTTTATTTTATTTATTTTTTTTTTTTTTTTACTGCTACCCTGTTGGTTTTTTTTTTATTATTTTTTTATTTTATTTTATTTATTTTTTTTTTTTTTTGCTGCAAACAAAAGCGTAGTTGGCAACTACTGCTGCATTCGAGCACACACAGTTGTAAAACAACTGTAATGGACACATGTATTATTAATATGTATATACAAGTACACTCAATTATATAGTGTGTGTGTGTTTAAGTAAGCTGGTTTGTGGATGACAAAAATAGCATCCAGCTCACCTCTATTCGAGTAGCAGCGGCTACTTCTAATACGGTTATTGAGCTGAGCAATCAAGGTAGTCTTTATATGCACGTTTTTATGCCATAACTTATGGCGCACAAGCCTATTGCATAATAAGTTGGGTTAGTGATTTTCGTAATTTTATTTAATTTGTTTTTTCTCTAATTCCTTTTCCTGGTTCCCTTACAGATCAAGGGGAAGACTAACAATCGGACAATTTTATCATTATTAGTGGCACCAGCAGTCATCGAAGAAGTCGCTCAGGAAGTTAATCAGGGGTAAGTGAAATTTGGAAGTTGAACAAAAGTTAAATACAAACGACATCTAGAAGTATTGCACATTCATTTAAATCTACATATGTAGTAATATGTGTAAGCTGTCATATGAGTGAAAGGAAAAGGTGTGGCTTTAATAAACTTTTTTCGATTTTTATTTAAATTTTTTTAGTCAAATTTTATTAAAATTTATGTACCGGCCGATCGTTCCGTCTTTTTATCATTCGGTGCAAATTAGAAACACCAAGAAAAGCAAGGCGCTTCCTCACCCAATCCTTCAGCGTAATGGAGGTTTCGAAAACCTCCAGCGCTGGTTACGACGCGACATGACCTAGGCAGCGTAGCCGCTGGCACTTTATACGATGAACTGTATCAATGTTCTTATAAATATAACGTAGAAAACATTCAGCTTCACCCGGAGTATAAATCTGCTGCAAAACCTTTCTCTAGAAGACCCTTTTAACCAGCTCATCGAATGTTACGTTATTGTTGTAACCCCAAAATTATTCCCGAGTTGAGTTTCGTGGAATATTGCGTATTGGAGTGACAGTCCATGGCCGAATAAAAATCCGCGTCGTTCCTGTATAAAGACCCGACTGTCACCGGAAATATTTGATTTTAGTCGCCTCTTACGACACGCATAGGCATGCCTTACCGCCGGTAAGTTCTTTCGTCGCTAACTCGCCGGTTTCATCGGAGTGGCCGATGTTGCCATCATCCTCGCTTCTGCACCATATAGTACGACGAGAGTGCTAAGACATTTAATATACTTTCTTTGTTTCACCACAGAGGGATCTGTAGAACTAACGGCGCGTTTACTGAGGTCAATGATATCAATATCATCGGCTCAAGCCAGCAGTTGTACGCTCTTATAGCAGTTGTGTCAAACATACCATCTCTCCCTCTTTGGCTTTATAGTCTAAAAGCACAATCCTAACGTCGTGGCAGGGGCACCAATTTTAGGTGCACTTATAGGTGGGCTCGAGTCACTCATAAAAGGCATCTAGATGGACCTGTTCTTCCATCGGTGCATAGGTGCAGGTCAGCGATATGTTGGAGAACTTCGATGTGGATTGTGGTGAGACTTTCATACACACTGATGAATACCAGAACACGGCGACGATGTCTCCCTCTCAGTTGTATGTAATACTTAGTACGTTTACCACGATCGTTACGAAAAGGGGGTATCTTGTCCGAGGCTGTTGTCTCTTTCATTGAAGCTACCTACTACGGGCGAATCTTGCCCAAGGTTAGCTAACATTTATAGGACGAGCAACTGTAACTACATATCGAGAAGCAGATCTAGACACCATTAAGCCCTACCTCTACTTCTTTATAAAAATGAAAATAGAATAAAATCCTCAAGGTGTATATGAATTCATTGTGTTGGAACTCAATACCTGTAGTTGTTAACTACGCCTCCACTACGAGTTATCCGAAGTCATTGAACTTTCTTTTACTATAAATGCCATTAAATCGAAACATCGCTGCGAGGCCATTGTCAATGCGACTTTGCTATGAATTTCCTCAGTTAATTACTTTGTGTCTGCCCCGAAATGCTACGTGGACGTAAAGAGTTAATCGACAAAATTTTCTGTTTCGGATTTTCACTTTGTACATTGACTTCAACGTCGCCAACTCTGAAACTTCCTCGGCATTTTACTGCTTCCGCTTTTCCTTTTAATCGAAACAACCTCACAGCAGCATTCGTTTGGCCTTTAGCCCTCAGCTCTTTTTGTGTACTTCTCAATAGTTTGTTAATCCACGTTTCCTTGCCCACAATCGCTCACTTACTCCCACAGGCAAAGTGTTCATTGACCTATTTAAGTTGTTTATTATACATACGTACAGCCGTGACCAGCGAGCGGCGGTGTGGCAGTGAGGGACGTCATATGTCGCCAGCACGTAGAGGCTTGAATTGATGGGTGAGTTTTGCAGTGGCTAAACTATTGCTAAAATAGCAATATTCGATTTGTGTGATTTGCAATTCCAATAGCAATACTCAGGCACGCTCTAGCCAAACGCTGCACTTCACGAAACAGCAGCAACACCACACCACCAGTCATCATTCACTAGTCGTCATTCGAGAATTTGACTAATCTCGCCTTAATGGTTAGACGGCTGTCACTAAAGTGTATTGATTGACCGGGTTGGTGTGGAGGTTTCATTCCATGTTGGCTCAGCAGCAGCAGCAGCAACCAAAATTTAAATTTCATGCAAATCAATAAAGTGAAAAGAAATATTTGAACAGGGATTAGCAATGGATTGGCCAGCATGAACGTTGAGTGCTTTTCTGTTATTGTTAAAACTTGGTCAGAGGTGGAATTGTTTGTGTTTGATGGTGTTGATGGCAGGGTGTGGAACAGTGTATTGTTGTGGGTATTTACGTTTTTCGGCACCGTGTGGCGTTGGTGCTGGAAAGTTTTTTTTTAATATAAGAGGCCTGTAAAAAGTGGCTGTCCGAATTCTTCGCAAATAAGGAGGGGGGCTTCTACGAGGAAGGTATTCTGAAGTTGCCGTCTAGATGGAAACAGATCATCGAACAGATGTCGTTTCAGGAATTGATGGACATGATCTTGGCTAAACTGAAATTTCAGATGAAGACGCGTTTACGGAATTGATGAGCTTGGCCTTGGTTAAACAGAACCTTAAAGGTTTAAATATTGTGCTGGAGGAGCGTTGATTGAGGCTAAACAGTACATAAATAACCGTTCAATGTGCCTCTTTTCAGCATAGAATATACACTCAGTACAGCTTTCAAGTCTCAAGCAATTTAGACTAATAAAAACTGCTATCTTCGTAAGAGTGTTTAAGGAATCAGAAGAAAAATACCGGCAGACACTTTCGTTCGAGACCAACAAGACGTACCTTGAGGGATAAAAGTAATGTATTAGCTTTAGCGACAATCATTTGGTGGACAGCGAAAAATAAAGCAGTTGATGGTGGGGAGCTCTTTATATAAATAAATTGTAATTTTTGGTTTAGAGTCGACGAGTTTAAATGAGTCTGTTAGTTTTTTCTACAAAAAATAATCATTAATTACTAAATACGAATGACCCACGGTGAAAGCTTGTAGCAAAATTTTGTTAAATTTATACAATAATACTTTTGTTGTTCTTTTTACTTATGTAACTTTTCACTTCGCCGCCAGTCTGCTTTGCACAGTCCATTTACAATTAATTTACATTTCTACCGCGCCGAAATTTCACTTAATACAAACACAAATAGATTTGGGCGCTGCTTCTTCTTTCACTTTCAGCCTTATCATCTAGCGGCGAAGCGCTTCAGGCCAAGCTTAACGATAAATAGGAAAGCAGCGTAAACTTAATATTATCATCACAAATGAAAAAAAAAATGCAGAAATAATCCCTTATTTGAAATAATATTACAAGTAGAGAGATCTATGGGAAATTGAAAAATTGTAATTTTAACTTTAATTTGAAGTATTTTTGAACAGACGAGTGAGTAACGCAGATTTATTTTAATTAGAAATTGCGCACTTAAGGTTTAGGTTAAATAGCAGAGAGCGAAGCATAAAATGATGAGGGGAGCAATAAATTTTTTAGCCAAAATTGGAAAAGAAGATTTTTGTTGTGCGTCTTAATAGTTTTCCTTTGAAGCGCGCCAAATTTGAAGCTCTAGCAAAGCGGGTGATACGTTGATTGGATTTACACAAGTGGAAATACTCTTTTTTTTTTTGATATATGGAGCACTAGTATGGTGGTCGATTTTAAAAAAGAAGTACCGCATAACTTCGAAGAGGAATGCAACGTAGCTGTCCATGAGGTATAGCTCCACAAAGGTCCTAGTTCTAGACCTTGACATCAGGCCAAACAATTTAACTCTGTAGGCTTCACAAGCAAAATCATTCCAGATAGAAAAAACAGTTCTTTGTCACTTGATGCGAAATCTGAACTATAAGATGTATGCATAAGAGCCGCTCAATCAAGCTCTCGGTGCTGCTGACAAGTCACTATCGTTGTGTGTGGGTGATTGTTTTCTTTAGACGGTCCAATTGTTAACAGTACAGCTCCGAATTAAGAGTTCGGCCGTAAATGGGCAGCTCTAAGTGAATGATTCCTTGCCAATCACACCGAATACACACCAAAACCATCCCAGCCGGCAATCCTGCCTTGGATACCATTTGCGCCGACAGTGGTCCCTCGACGACAACCGTTCACGTTTGACGTTACTGTAAGAAATGGTGATAAGAGGTAGATCACCAGTCACCATTCGCTTCAGAAATGAGTAAATGAATCGACTTGTTAAGATTCTGCAGGGATTCGATCCATGAGGGTTTTTCTCGTTAAGTCATGTGACACCTATACATGCAGTGAGCTTCATATGGTTCCAAACTGTTCTTTGTGCAATGTTTAGCTTCTGGGTACTATAAACAGTGCTCGCATGACGGTCCGACTCAGCGATTTTCATGATTTTATAGACATTTGCGATGTGGAACACCACTCGTGTTGCATTTTTTATATAAAAATTACCGGAACGAAGTTAGCGGGGGCGATGAAGCCGAAAATCTCTGCAACCTGCCATATTTCATTCAACATTTCTCGCTCTACTCATCTTTATACACCTACCAAATACATATAACCCCATTTTATAATAAATATTATAAGCATATCGACCACAACAATCATCTTCCCTGACAGCAACATCACACCCGCCATCGAACAGAAATTTCGTGTTGCGCTCGAGGAAATGTACATCAACTGGACAACACAGATACATGAAATAATAATTGAACGATCAGAATGCCCCACTGGCTTACAAGCGCGAAGTACAAGCGCCCAGCAGAGCAAAGGTGTGGTATATGTAACACTGCCGGCACACGAGATTGCCTATTGGAGTAACCGCAAGCAAAATTTACAAAATATCTACGAGCAGCTACGCACAGCGACACACAAAACGCTTACACACATACTTAAAGCGATAGATTCGCCATACTATGATCCATTCGTGCTGGTCTTCAAGCGTTTGGTGTGCGCTTGGCATGAGGCGGAGGATAACACTTTGTGGCTGCAGCCGCTGCTACGACAAACAGCTGCTTTCAATGCGGTAAACTTTCACGCCGCCACGGAGCTGGTGAATCCACTCGTGCATATCATACATCTCATTTGGACACAGGCACGCTACTATCGCAGCACTAAACGTATGACGGTGCTCCTGCGTTGTGTTAGCCAGCTGTTGGTGCGTCGTGCTAGCGAGGACTTGGACTTTCCGCTGCTCTTTCAAGGCGATGCCGATGAGGGTTTGTCGAGAATAACTAAATCTGTTGAGGTCTTGACACAATTTAAGTGAGTCTTCATTTCTTTCATGTAAAATGTATTTCATTTCATTTCGTCCTTCAGAACTCGACTATTGGAATATAAGGAGAAGTATTCTAGCAATCAACAGCTTTTACCCGCATTACCGAGTACTTCGCGCGCGGCTGCCTCTTCGTTATCAACCGATAGCACCAGCGAGGCTTTTGAGCTTTGGCGTTTCTCTCCAGAGGATGTATTTGGTTATGCGCTGGATGGTTTTGTGGCGCAATTGGACGATATGCGTACACTTTTTGAGTCTGCGGTGTCCTTTCAAAATCTGGAAAAAATAGAATTTGGCGGTCTACGTGGTAAGCAACTCAACGAGCGCGTACGGCAGGTGAGTTAAAGTTCTTTGGTTTTAGACAACCCAAAAGAGCTATTTGGTGCTAATTGGTGGAGGACGTTACGCGGCTTTTTGTGGTTTTGGTTGAGTTCCTTAGTAATAACAACGATATTTGAAGTCCCCAGAAATCTGACTGGAGTATCCTCTCACTAAAATTTACAGACATCCGTGTAAGCGCAGATTTCTTTTCTTGTCCTCGATCTTCTTACGTCGCGTAACCGATCGATACTGAGCTACTTACTTAAAGCTCCACAACGATCATTATATTGGTAGATTTTTAAAAGACCAAGAGACCCAAAAAGACGCAACTCTGTTAGTGGGTTTGGTTCGAGGCTTGACAGCGTAAGGTTTAAGAAGTTTTGGACGTTCATTGAATTACAAAGTTCTGCAGAATATTTACACCTGTCGCATGCAGTAGTGCCTAATAACATTAAAAACCTATGATACTTTGTCTTCCTCTTTGGCATGGCCCACTTCTTATGCTATTACAGCCGAAAGAGCAATAGAACACTAATAGAGCCAGATCGTTCTCCACGTGATTCCTTTCACCGGGGTTGAGATCCTGCTCTACCTTTACCGTTTGATACTGCATCAAACGTCTTGACAACTGCAATGTTGTCGGATATTCAGACGACGAGACCTAGCCAGCGTTGATGCTATTGCTTAATTCGCTGAACTCTGTTAATGCCGTCGTATACCTCGTACAGCTCATCGTTGCGTCATCTGTGGCATTCGGCTTAGCCAATTCGCATCAGATGCGAGCTGAGCATCGTTCATGCCTTCGCACCATATGGCAGGACGAGAATGAGGAGTGACTTGTAGTGTTTGGTTTTTGTTCGTCGAGCGAGGACTTTACTTTTCAGCACAACGCCACCAAGCGTTCACTCTCATTTAAGATTTTATCTTCGCTATTTAGTTCTGAAGCCTCTCTTGGTGACGAACTGCACGGAGAGATCCTTCCTAGTTCTAATATTGTAGTTTTCCCACGGATCAGTGAAAGATTTATCAAATCATAAGTCACATCGATAAGTTCCAATTAGGTTAAGTTAGGTTGATGACTGATGGCTTGAGGAACTTTTCATTTCATGTCAGAAATACTCTCGTAGTTTTTGGCATTCCCTGTCGAGAGCCGACCGCAATTACAAAATTTTACTTAACTTTTTATTTAAATTAATTTCCTATAATTTTTGGATATTGGTCGGACCAGGACTCGAACCCTAGCTTTCCGAATAGCAGTACGCAATGCTACCCACTCGACTACGGCGGCGAATACAATTATTCCACAAAAATTGGCTAAAAGTATTGGATTCCTTTTTTATTCGAGTTTTTAACTCGCTTCTACTTTTTTCGAGCTTCTGACCTTCACCTTTAGTGAATAGATTTCCCAAATTTTATCTGTTGCTTTCTCAATTTCACTTGGACCACATTCGAAAACAAATTATTCTCTGTTCGATATTTAATTTCCACAAATGATTACCCAAAATCAGCAAAGTCTGCCATTTAGAAATCTAACCACACATTCCCAATGGCAAAAACTTAAACCGAGTTTCAAATTTCCCACGCACGCACTACTAAAATTTAGCATTAAATACCCAAATATGCGAATGAGTAGTATTTCCACAGGTGCACACACAATTCAAGGAGATCTTCGAGCAATGGACTCTAACCAAATTCGATGCTGCTGCACAGTTGGATACACAACTGCCAAGCAGCGGTGGCAACAACAAGCATTTCAAGCGACAGTTACGTAAATTTTTCGAACACATACACGCGCTGGAGCAAAAATTGGCGACGATATTCGTGCAGGCGTACAAAGATTGCCAAAATTGGGAGCAATTAACTAAGGTGTGCCTGACTTTAATGTTCATATCTTACGCTTTCACCTTGCTTCTGTTCACTTTGTAACTTTTCATGCTCATTCTTTCGCTCTTCTCTCTTTGTTTCCTCCTCGCTACACTTTAAGTTAACGGTAATGCTTGGCAATAGCATTCTCCAGCGTCATACAATTCTACCGGAACTTCGTGTCATTGAGTCACATCTTCTGCATATCTACGACGAAGAGCTACAACAGCTGGAAGGTTCAGCTCATGAAGTGCTTTTGGAATTTGAATTTCGCGGTATTTCAGCTATACCAATTCAATGGGGATTCCCACCCACGGCTGGCGCTTTAATGTGGTTGGAACAGCATATGCAACGTATAGACGCGCTGACATCGCGTGAACTGCATAACTTTATGAAGATAATGTAAGTATGCAAATTTGTATAAATATATGCATATTGATGGCCCCAAAAGAAAGTAAATAAATTAAATTTTTTTAATTTTATAATGAAATTTAATCAATTATGTAATTGCCATAGAACTTCTGGCCTTTCTCTGCAAAAAGCTGAACTGCGGCTTGTTAAGTGGATCTCTTTTTATTCCATGTGGTACCCAAATATCAAGAATTTTTACCAGTCCAAGACGTCGTATATGATTATGAACAATCGTTCAATATGTCGCCCCCCCCCCCCTCTAATATCTCGCCGAACTGAATTTGGCAAAGCAACTTCGATACTTTGTTTCTTTTAAGGCCTTACCACCATACAGATTAGGCAGCTCTTTAGCAACCTTCTCCGCCTTATTTCCAATATTTGGTCAAGTAAAAAGTTCGTTCGGTTCTCTTTATTTTTTTTTTTTTTTTTTCAAAATATGATAACTTTGTGAACATTTGTCCGATTTAAGTAAAGTCAGTTTTTTTCGTAAACTTGTTGCCAACAAGATGCCAACTTCCCCTTATACCCCTCTTGTAGAAGGCTGCATACTTATTGGCAAAGAACTCGGAGAGCCTATTTTTACAGCCCTCTCTTGAGGCCAACTTCTTATCATTTAGCGCGTTCGCCATAGACAGGAAAATATGGTAATCACTTGGTGCCAGGTCCGGACTATAAGGTGGGTGTATTAGGACCTCCCATCTGAGCTCCTGGAGCTTCTGGCGCGTCACTAAAGACGTCTGTGGCTTGCGTTGTCCTTATGGAACAAAATTCGGCTTCTGTTGATCAAAGATGGCCTCTTCTGGATGAATACTGCCTTCAAGCGGTCCATTTGTTGGCAGTAGAGGGCGGAGTTAAGCGTTTGGCCAAAAGAGAACAACTCGTAGTAGATGATTCTTTGACGAGCGCTCACAACGTACTGAGTCCATCAATAGAAAAAATGTTAAAGACAAACTTTTACATGATGCGACACGTAACACTAGTACTATGGACAATAATAGATAAAAACCGAACGAACTTTTTACTTGACCAATATTAAAGTAAAATATGGCGAAACTGTTCTTTTGTGAGCTCCATATTAAAATAGACGCCAAACAGGCAAACTTAAACAAAACAAGGCCTACTTTCTTCTCAAGCAAGCTAAAAGTTACAGCTTATGACTGTCAAAGGAGAAAATAAAATTAAACAGTCAAAATCTGTTCCAAAACATTGCCAACGTCGTCTGTATAAAAATTCGCCGGCTTCTTTTGGGGCAACTCAATTCTATACATCTAGGTATGTATAGAGTAGACCAGGCATAGCTAACTCATGTTCAATGAGCAGTCGTGAAGCTGATGCAATCGATTGAAATTTGCAGTCATTCGCACCTAATTGAATTGAAACTATAGGAGTATATAAGTACATATACACATACATATATGACCACGATAATGCGAGTACGCATTGGTTGGATGTGGTGGTGTTGATTTCATTTGAGATTTGCTGATTTTGGCGTGTTCTACGTAAAACTAGCAATGCGTTCAGTTTCAGATTTTCCTCATTCAATACTGTATTACAAATATGGACGAAATTAGAAAATCGGTGTTCTCATCACTGTGCCTTTAAATCATTTTTATACACTTTTCAAGTTAACCTCGAATATTATTTAGGCTCCCAAAATTGGCCGATCGCACAAATTTTTTAAGGGATCTGTTACGACTGTTTGTTTGATAACAGGAGATATTTCGCTTTGTGCTCGGTCATTACCATTCGCAAGGCTGCTCCAACACAGCAGAGCTAATGGCCCGTTCTACAGTTCTTTTCTTTCTCCAGTTTTCACATGACACAGAGTTACCTTGCCCGTAGTCTCATTTGGTATTTCCCAATTTGTAAGGAGTTTTTTGGTGATGCTAAACTTGGGCTTACAAAGGCGTATAAGTTTTTTAAGGATACCCAACTCAGTTTTAACAGTGCAGAGACACATTGTTTTCGTGCTATCGAGAAGACTTTTTATAATGATCTTTTTCTCACTGATCATTTCCAAGTTTTAATGCATAGTGAATATCTGGTCGGTAGTGGTCTTGAGCTACGTTGATAAGCTCTCATCAGTTCTTTAGTGCTGGGCTTCAATCTCCCACATAGCACACTCGATAAGATCTAAGTTTTATACCACGACAACCGGCACGAAATTCGAGATTCCCTTTTTTCTGGATTGAGCAGAGCAGCCTTAGGTTCTAATTGTCGCGCATGCATTCGTGCGATAATATTCAGCAAAGTAGCTGATGCAATCCCCTTGTCAGTTCTGCGTCGCTACCTTTAAATAGCTTACGGTAAGTCATCGACTCGCGGTGGTTTTTTGAACGGGCAATCGCTATTGGATCTTTATCATTGTCAGCTGATGTATTCACAATATCGATTCGGGTGTGGCATCACTGGGTGTTTCCTATCACTACAATTAAGCAGGCTGAAGAACTATTAAATTAATTTACTCTGAATATCAGTCACCACATTTCTCGTGCCTATGACAAAAAGCTCTGGTCTTGGAATCTTTTGAACTTACTCATTCGTAGAATTTTCGAGCATTTCCTCGTACTTACGGTCTTCAGTCTCTCCTTTCTCTTCACTCTTTCTGTCTGCAAATACTTCTCACATCCACCCTCGGTAACTTTCCCATACCGTTATCAATGTGGCCGTTCACAACGTTGCGATATCGGCAATATCTTTTTTTCTCCAGTGCAATAAGACAATCCTAATTCTAACACCTTTTTTTTCGCCATTACCTTTCGTGTCGGCTGTACCTAGGGAGCTTGAAATGCCGTCCGACAGTTCGTTTATATCGACTGGTGGCGAGTTTTTCGTCTATTACGTCTATTACCACTTTTTACATCGTCCTTGTCATCTGTCAAACTGCGGTAATGTCAGTCTTTAGTCTTGCGAAAAAGTGCGGCGGTGGTGTTTCCCACAACCTACACACAACCACAGATGTTGCCCCATCAATTTAGCTCGCCTCAAACCTTAAGTTTATTGGCTACGCGGAAGATACTGGTTCTAAGTCCCGAAGTCGTGCGCTGATTGAACCTTACCTCAAATATTTTTTCTGATCAATCCCAATGGCAGTCTAAAGCTCTCTTTACTAGCTTTTATGATTGCATCAAAGGACAAAAACTAGTCTTCAATAAAAACTCTTTCCCTAAATTTACGTCTTCAAGAATGAAGTTACAAGAATCTAAAACTTCACTAGCCTCAATCCGACCAATGGAAGCGGGTACACGTTCAGTATAAAATAGTTTCATGGCCGCAAAGGCAGATTTTTAGCGCAAGTTCGATTGCCCTCTTTTGGTTGGTAACACCAAGTATAGCTAGGTGGTTCTCCAACTGAAGGTGAAGGTTATCCTGTTCCATCAAAAAACTTTCAAAGTCAGAGTATTCTTATCCGCCCAGACCACATGGCCTAGCCAGCGTAGCCGTTGTTTTTCGCTTTGCTGAACTATGTCAATGCCGCTGTACGAGTATATTATTTCAGCGGCATTAGTCGTTCCCAACTTACAGAGTACCAAATTTTTGCCTTGGAAAATTCTTCACGCCGGCTCATCAAATGCTGTCATCTTCCATTCCCCTCACCATATAACAGGTGAGCTTGATCTCCGTTCATAGAGAAAAGACTTTACTTTTCAATTGCCTACTTAGCCCAAAGCAGCACCTGGATTTCTAGGGTGGCATTGTTGTTGGTGTTAACACTGGTTCCAAGATGGACAAAAATAATCTACGACTTCAGAGTTATCACTGTCAACAGTGTCGAATGTGATAACTGTTGGTTTGATGACGATATTTCGTGAATTTGCTTGGGTGCATTAAAACGATTAGTTTCCAAGATTCGGCCCAGGGTGAATATCTTAATTTATAAGGTTTATAGACACACAGAAAAGGCCCAATCAGTTCTTTGACGATGGGCTTTAGTCTTTCACACAATACGCTTGACAGTGCCTTATATGCGATATTAAGTAGGCTTATCCCACGGTAATTGGCGCGAACTGTGGGATCCCACTTCTAATGGATTGTTGAGAGAACGATTAGGTTAGAATCGATAGGCATGCTTTCAGCACACCATATTTGCAAAAGAAGCTGATGCAGGCCGTAGAGGAGGTCATATACCTTCAGTTCTCAAAACATGTCTTTAAGTACATTAATATGAAGAGTTTCGAAGTCAATCCTCAAAAGCCGCGTGATTTAAAGAAATAACTACATTTTTTACTTCATTGCACCACATTCAACACGCCACGATCTCACGGCCTAAATTCAATCTAGCCTCCAATTGTGACATCTCCATTTCGCCATTCTCTCTCGATTTCATTCACAATCAATTAACACGCCGGCATTCTTTGTAGGCTCTTTAATGTTGACTGCACATCAGCCGAAAGCAGTGAAACAATTAGGAACAACAACAGCAATACCAACACCAATAACACAGAATATAGCAACGAGCTGTGGCGTGAAGGTGTCGCCGCCGAGGGGACCGCCAACACCAATAGCACAGTGAACGCCTACAAACGACTAAATACACGCCGCGATATTTTGACAACAAAGCTTAGCAATTTGCAATTGAAAATCTGGCACAATTGGCAGCAGACAATATGCAAAAGGATTGCCAATGGGCTAGATGCACGTGTGATGTCCCTCGGCGGCAATTATGCGGGCGAGGAGTGTAGCAACAGCAACGGCAACGGTCATTTGTGCGGACCAAGTGGAAATTACACCTTTGGCACGAATTTTCGAAGTGCAATCACCGCAGCGTTGGCTCGTTCGCGCTATCATAAAAGTAACAACAGCAACAACGGCGGCAGCAGCAAGAACACCAATAGCAGCATTAGCGGCAACAAACGAAACCACAGCTACATCAAAGACGACACAACAACAACAACTACAACACCAACAAGAACACCAAAACAACCAGAAATACCAACCAAGTCGAAAGCCAAAGCAAAATCACTGCAAATGAATTACTCACCGGATTTATTTGGACTTTTGCAAGAGGTCAAGTATTTGCTGGCAATGCAGCAGGCAGCGAGCAGCTTGCGGCGCGGCAGCAACGATATTAGCGTCAACAATCTATCAACGTTTGAGGCGCTAGGCGTTATGGCAACTGAGGTTGAGGCACAACATCAGTTCGAAAAGCAATTAACGGCGGAGAGTGCGGACAAGAGTGAGGAGGCAGCGGCAGGAGTAGAGGAGCCAACAACATTGGCCAGCATTTTACTCCGTTTATATGCCAAAAGAGACGAGTTTTGGCAACGCAAAGTGAAACTCATCAAAATCTGCGAATTTTACAATGGTATTCGTGGTCTATCTGCTGATGACGGCGCTAGCTGTCGTGATGATGGTCTCACCATGATTGGTAGTGCTGCCAAGTTGCGACTGATTCGTCATGAAGTGGATACGATTGACGAGCGTGTGGAGAAGGCATGCGCTACGCTCACATGGCGCACTTACGGTAAGTCATTAGTGAAGTGTAGGTTGGGAGGGAGGGAAGAATTTTTGCAGTATTGAAAATTAGCGGAGCTGAAGAAGAGGGGGAAAGATGTTTTGTTGAAAAGATTTGCTTAAGTTCATATTCACGGTATAGAAAAGTTATCGAAAAAAGTAGATAACTAAATTATATTTATTATTATTATTATTATTATTATTATTATTATTATTATTATTATTATTATTATTATTATTATTATTATTATTATTATTCAGTTTAATTTTAGTATTTTACCATTTAGTCGATAAATAATATTTATCGATAACATTTCAATAACATACAGATAATATATCGATATTTTTTAATATTTAAATACTTTAATTCTTCGAATCTGTTTTCATAGGCATTTTATTCACCTCGTATTTTTAATAACTTTTAATAGGTAATTGTAATTTTATCGCTTGTGAATGCCTTGATTAATAATTGACCATAATTTATTATTCGAAAATCGAAATTCAAACTTTTTACGATTTTTGCTTGAAATGTCTAAGTCATTCATTTTCGAAACATTAATCGATTCATTACACATGCTTGAGTTGTTATTTTTTTATTTTTTGAACGAAACTTATTTTTTTTATTACTTTCATAGCCACGATATTTCACGAATAATTTTTTTGAATTTAATATTTTAAATATAGCATAAATTGTTATTTTTAGAGAGTGTTTAAAAATATTTTTATTTTTTTCATTATTTTTTTTTTAATTTGTCGATAAAAAAATTATATTTTTTTTAATATTTTCAAACGATAACTGTATTAAATATTTTCGATTAATTCCACTTCTAACATATTACGCGATTTTTTTTTTTATTTTAAAATTTTTAATTAAATTATCAATCGATAAAAGTGGTCACGTTGAAGCGATTAAGTTAAATTTTTTGAATTAATATATACATATTTTTTTTTTGATAGCAATTTTTAAAATTTTTAAGAAAATTAAATTTTTTTTCTTTTAAATATTTCAATTTTTTCAGAATGTTTTGAGAGTAAAACGCCTTAAGGGTTGTTCTTTTCGTAGCAAAACATTTTTTAGAAGTAATTTTTTACATTTTTAAATAATTTTTTATTCAAAAAATTTTTAAAGTAGTAAAATTATCAACAACTTATTGCCGTTATTATTCTGTACACAATTTTTATTATATATGCTTTTTTACTAAAAAAAATATCTTTACACCCTATAATTTAACTTCACCCCACGCAGACACCAACTTGATGAATGACATCTATAAACGTTCCAAACAACTCTACCATCGCTTGCAGCAAACCCAACACAACCTAATGGCCATCGTACAGAGTATACGGCGCTGGAGTCGTGAGCCGCTCTACCAACGCTCAGCCTACGGGCGTAACTTGTTGGATGTACAACAGCAACAGGAACGCTTACGGCAACGACGCCACTACTGCGATGAGACACGACGTTTGATGAGCCGCTTGTTGATTGCCAATTTCTGTTTGTTTTTCGATTATGACCAAGAGCGTTGTGCAATGGATGGACATGACGATCAATGTATACAGGAGGTGAGTGGTTATGAGAGTTGGAGTTTTTATACAAATTAAGCATTTAGTGTGGTCGTTGCTGTAGTTTTTAAGCAAGTTTTGCACAACACAAAGGCGGAGCTACAATAAATATCTAGCTGGTGTGGAGGCATTGATAGAGCGAGAAGTGCGAATGGCTGTAAAAGTCAGGTGATAAAAAATATGCATGCAATATATATTTCGACACTTCTCGGTGTGACAGCTTATAAATATGTACATCAAATGATATTCCAAACATATTAAGTCAGAATTAGATGTTTATCATTGAATTAATTAAGTTACAAGTGATTTTGTTGTCACTGCATCACATGACATTATATCATATGACATCACCTTCAGCAAGAAAGTTATAGCACATCTCATGTTTTGTTATATTTATCAAATTTCAGCATATCACAGTACAGCACATCAACATATCACATGAGATTTTAGATACAAAATTAAGCTCATCAAATCGATGTCATCGCATCACATGTTAAGTTATGCTTAAGAACTGTACACCGAAATAAGTATGAGAATCTAGGAAACATTCACTAATCGTTATAAATTTTCTTCATAACATCAGATTTCATATGGCAATATCACATCACTGCCATCGAATTCATTAACTTACATCACAGCAACCCATGCAACAAATATCAGCATTCCATCACGGCATGCTGTAGTGCCATAGTACATTAAAAAGCTTGCACAGCGCTTTAATCTCTTATGTATAAATATATATATATATGTTATATATATATCTTTTATTAACAATATTATCACATAATACATAATCATGCAGATCATGAGAATGTACACAAATTTAATGAAGAAGTTGAATTACGTCCCATCATACGGATTAATCAAAGTAATGCACATCTGATCAGCAGCACTACTTTAAATCAAACCAGTTTTTTACTATCATTCAGTTTCATTTCATTATTCTAGTTTTCAGCCTAACATACTATATCATCAAAGTCCGCTTAAGGGCACAGAATCATATCGCATCATCATATCACATCACGACCTGGAATCACATCAGATGTCCTCAAATTATAATTACCATCATATCACATCACGTTTTATAAGAGAATTTATTTGTTAGCAGATAAAAATTATTTTAAATTTTTGTAGATTGATAAAAAAAATATATCACATCAAATAAATATTTTCTGTTCACTATGGCAAATAATTCCAAATCAAAGCTTTAGCATCATTAGGTGCATTAAAATAAATTTTGGAATGATTTTGACAAACTGAAATATTAACTTCTTAAAATAAATAAATCAGTAAAGAACTTTTAAAGCTCATCATAATATATCATGTCACTAGCCGGGCATATGATGTTGCATCACATCATCATATCAAGGCAAAATTATTTTTCTAAACTGAATATTAATAATTACAACACTATTATGTATCTTCGTCTACCAGCTTTTTAGTCTTTGGCATATCAATCATATGACGCCATTTTGCATTACATCAATATTCACAACGTGATATAGTCGAAGCAGTTCAGAGGTTATATCACATCACATCGATGTCGAAAATTTAGTTTAACTTTTAGGGCTGATTTGACCACTATCTCGAAAGATTATCGGCATCATATTTTACCATATAACATGAACATTTAAAAGGTGTTATCATCGTGGAAACAGTTTCAAAACTTGCAAAGAGACTTAAAATGTTTAGCCACCTTGTAGATATCACATCATACCAGTGACATCATGTGTTGTATTATCACATCTAGTTTAATACCGAAAATTTAGCTCAACACTTTTACAACAATTAGGTGTTATTAACTATATCATATCATGTGATGTCACAGTCAGTAAAACGTACATAAACTGCAACTTCACACAATATTCAAATATATCATATGTAATAAAAAAATCACATCATATCAATGGCATCATATGATTTACTAACATATCTGATCGATATCGTAAACCTATTTAAAAGAAGTCAAATAAATTTGTAAAATCTCAAATTTTCACTTTCAGTAGAGTAGTGTAAAAGTGTACCCTTTAATCACTGACTGCGTTATTACCCGCAACTTTTATTGTATTACGGCCACTCATTGTTATAAATTTAACGAATTTCACATTTGGTGCGCCCTGGCATAAACACACGCATACTAAATTACTGGCCACAGAAACCAAATATGTGAATGCCGAAACAGCACAATGAGACATGCCACTGTTGCCGATGTAACCCTAGTGGCACATTCCATGCTCTGCTACCTCAGCTCCACTCATTACTGTCTGTCCTCCGGCATTTCAGTTTATTTTAGTTTAAAACATTTTAATATTTTCACATTTCACGTCGCGAGTTTTTGTGCAAACATGCCACATGCCACATGCCACACTATTTGTTTGCAACGCTTGCGTGTAACTCACTCAATATGCACTCAATTTAATTTGTACATCACTCATACGCTCCGTTGCACTTGGCGCGGCATGGCCTGCGCTCATTTCTCTTATACTTCCTTCCCTCCCGCAGTTTAGCGTATTTTCACATCCAAATGGCAAAAATAAACGAATTTGATGAGTTGGCAACAACAGCAACAACTTTTACAAGAACAACAAACGCGTCAACCACTGAAACACCTGCGAATGAAGATGATGATGGCGGTGTTGGTGCCGGTGGCTTTGGCGGAGATGACAACATCTACGGCGCGGGAGTGCAGTCTGTGTATACGCCTCATAAGCAACTAGTAGCGGCAGTCGGCAACAAACAGCATTTGTTGTTGCTCTCACGCCCGCAAACACCAACGGCAACAATGATGACGCCAACGGCTGCAACGCCCACAACAACAACAACAACAACAACACCACTGACGAATAGAGTAATGTCTGCCATTAGCAGCGATAACAACCGTGCTCCAACAGCAACAACAACACACCGGCAGCAACAACAACATCAATATCAACACCTAAACCGATCGCCGACTGCAATGTCTGCGGCAACCGCGCTGCCTCTTTTCGAGGTGAAATTGGAGTTGATGTCGTCGGAGGCGCAGTTGGCGCGCGAAGAGGAAGCGGACGTGGTGACGCATACAAATACGGAAATACGTTTCGTGCCATCATTCAACGTGAGTGTAGAAAATAATTTTCAACAAATTGTCGAGCAGCTGCTAGAGGACATACACCAGACTAGCCACGGTTGCATGCCACGCCGAATTGTTGATGACAAGGCTCTGTCTGATGACAACGAAAAGGATGATGACGATGACGATGAGGATGACGGCGAGCGTGTTGGTGTTGAGGCTGAAAATAATGGCAAACATGAATGCAACACCAACAACGGTGATCAGGTAGACATAGTTGAATGCAATAATAATGATTACGTGCTGCAAGTGAAAAACTCGCAATGCACACGTCGCAACAAAGTAAAACATCAGCAGCTGGCGCAACAACAACAGCAACAACAGAAAACAACTGCGTTTATGACATCGTTTCATGAGGTTGCTGTAGCAAAACGTCTACAATCCCAGCGGTTAACAACTAAGACGAGTCGTACAGCACAGCAGGGAGGGGAAGACAGCGGTACGTCGGCTAAGGACAAAGTTGAAAGAACTAGCGAATTTTACACTTCATTAGTACTTTATGTTGTATACTTTACTGGAGAAGCAAGTTTTTTAGTAAAGATGAGGCTCCAGGTAAACTGTGGCGCTCAATAGGTAATCTTACCCCCACACCAGTTTTTCAGTGACTCGTGCCGAGTGCTTACTCTGCCAACAAGTAGCCTAAAGCCGTAAGTAAACACGGTCTTGGATAATTTTTCATAGACTAAGAACCCTCTGCTGCTCCACGGAATTACTCGTTGGATTGGTAAACCCTAAATATCTCCTCGATCCCGGTAGTTTTGTCTGCTCTTTATTCTTCTTTTACATATAATGGTGACTGCGGCACTGTTCTCCCCGGAATGACATACGCTGTGAAATCGATCACATTTCTATTATAGCTCGCCTCTGATCATGCGTTGCGTTGGCTCATAATTTGATATTGCATTTTGGTCTGCAAGAAGTGTGAATCAATTATATATATATATACATATTTGGCTTCTTCCGGAGCGGCAGGGCACTACCTCTGCCACTGTCCAGCCTTAACATCAGCGCGATACGAATTTCTTGGGAAACATTTCTTCGATTGTTTCGCTGAGAGAGCCTCAGCGAATATTGGAAGTCTCGTCGCCTTTATAAGGCACACGAAATGGTTCGATCATCTGAGAAGGTGAAGGCAGGAGCTTCAGCGGTAGCACAATGGGTCTATTGGCCTAAGTGTGCTGGCAACAGCAGCCGCATCAACTCAACTCAACTCATATATAATTGGAGCTTTTAATCGCTGAAGGGGGTTTTTTACGAGGCCGAACCTGAATCAACACGAGCCTGAATCAAACCGAGCCTGAATCAACCCGAGTGGGAACCAATTGCTCAGGTATATTTGAAAGACTTTGCGGTATAGCAGCTGAAGAGACAAGTTTGAACTATGCCGTTCACATGGGTTCCGGCTACAACTACGTCTTGCAGTTCGTTGCGGCATTGCCATGCATTGCGAAGCTGAATAAAGTGGCGTATCTAGTAAATATGGTTATTTTTGACTAGTCTTTTCATTGGCTTGAAAATACTTCTGGAATTCTTTGGCTGGTGGTCCGGGGTCTAAAAATTGGTATTTATACCTTTACATTATCACCGTGTGTACGTACGACCAGCTCTCTGAATTGACTTGTTGTCAGAACCAACCACCGCAATTAGAAATTATGTTCCTAGGATTTTGGATGTTGTTCTGGTCATAATTCGAAGAACCTCCCTGAGTGTACCTTACATTTATTTTCCCCTCGTAGATATTCAACCCTCACAGTTTGAGTCTACCACAGAAGATCCGACAGAAAATAATTTCAACACTTCATATCCAAAAGAAAATCTTAGTAAAGCTCCTAAGTTAAATTTCGGAGCTATGAAGCTCCTTCCAAATTTTCACGCAGAGCTCACTTACATCAAGTTCGACAAAAATTGTCTACTGAGATGATATAAACAGCAAGTCTGGAGTATCAAAACAGAAAGCATATCTCCTTGCACCCCATTTTCAAATCCCACACTCTTTAGTCTCATTATTTCATAAATCGATTGAGAAGTCCCGCTCTCTGAGTTCAATTCAATGAAAAGCAAAAGAAACTTGTTTCGGGGTGATACGGAGATCCTCTCTTAATGGCGTTTTCTTTAAATTGATCTTGTTATAGGATGTTCTTATGAAGACCATGAGGAGTATTTAGTCCACATTCAAATAAAATTGTGACTGCTAATTCTAGAAAGTTTTTCCACCCTGATTGTAAACAGGGTAACCAACCTCTGGTACACAAATCTTCTCTATATGTATAACAAATAAAGTTGCGTTTCTAACGCGGTAATATAGACTATGCCGTTAAACCTCAAACATACTTTTAAACGTTTTCCTTTTATTTCTCTTCCTACTCTCCCCAACCTTCCTCTTTCCAGACATTACCACCGCCGAACTTCAGCAACTAAATGCCGACATACGCGTTGCACTCACCACAACTATTCGTGATGCTCAACACTTTGCCGCTCAATTCAACGCATACTCATTTCTATGGCAGCAGCAGCGGGAGCAGGTGTTCCAGGTAACTTTACAAGTCGCACGCGAAAACGAGGCAGTCGCCGGTAAGGGTTATGCCATCATGGAGGCATTTAAAATGCAGGTGAGACAACGAATTCTTGTACTCGAGTACAATAAATATATAAGTAATCCGTTTGGTACACAAGAAGTGTCACAAAGCTTGTCGACACAAAGGATTTCCTCGCGTCTTTCTTTATAAGGAAACTAAATTGTTTGCGTGTTTTCGCGGTGCGATGGTGGTGTAAAGATACTTACAGACAATGAGCAGTCGCCACTTGGCGAATTGGCTATTTTTGGGATGAAAATTAATTATAAAGTGAATAAAAAATCAGGGTAAATGTTTCCTGTTTTGTATAGTGATTGTTAAAGAACTTGGTTTTTAGAAAGTTTCCGATGGTTCGTGAACTGATGTCGTAAAAGAAAGTCCGTAGCCCAGCTCTCGGAGAATTAACTATTGTCCTTAAATTTAGTTTATTCTTTATTTTTATAGCTTTCATCTTCCTTTGCTAAGAATTTCTAGTTATCATAGCTAGTCGAACCCACGAAGAGTGACTTTGGAATAAAGTACGTTTCAATGTCCATACCGCCCTATACCTGTAGAATTCTCAAAGGACTCGAATCGCCGAAAAACTTTAACATCTCAGTCTTGGCCTACATATTACTGAGCATCTCAGAAGCTGAGAACTCGAAACTAAAAGCCTTTGCGTTGTTCATGCTTCCATTACAGAGATTCACAATACACTTTCATACAGTGAAATATCATTGTCGAGTTATAGCCGGACTGGCCGAAAAAAAGCGACGCAGCTGATACAAACTATCTTATTAGAGCGCCATGTAAATGAAAATTGGCGATGCCGTTACTAACGTTTGTACCAGCGGCAGTTTGAGTTGTGCCATAAAACTGACTAAGCTGATTTCTCTCTATTGTAAAAAGGTTGCCATCCTCTCCAGAGAAATTGAAAGAATACACCCGAGGTATGGTATGGATGTCGTAAAAGGCGACTAAAATCTGTCAGTGCCAAGCTCGGATACGAGGTTTAACGAGAGAGAGAGAGAGAGAGAGAGAGAGAGGCACAGAAGCTCTCGGTGCTTGCTCCAACTTGTTCTTAGGGTTGATCTTTCGGGAAGTATCGTGGTGATTGTGCACACCAAAAATTGGGTCTATTAATTTTATATAAAAAAAATTAAATATTTTATTCTAACTATTTACCATTTAAAGATTTATATTTGAAAAGGAATTTCTGAAACATTCGAAGGAAAATATTCTTAACTCTCTCTCTCTTAAAAGGTGAGCCAGTGTTGACAGTAGAACTCGTGAAACTTTGGGTAACCAGAGTGAGAAAAGTGAGAAGCCGAAGCCCCTGTGAGAAACAAAAATCTGCAAAGAATCATTGATAGCTTGTTAAGTGAGTAATTTGTTTTGTATTTAAACCCCTCCGAACGGTATAAAATTCTATTTTTCGGATGAAGGGCTTAGCAGTTTGAGTATTCTACTCTATTACATTTGTGTCCTAACACAAAACCCACAATATTAATTTAATTAGAGATAAATTACAAAGAGTAGAGTAACATATATTTAACAAGACCTATGAACAGGGGGTGTTAGGCTAACTGAGAGTACAAAGAGAAATGAAATTATTTATAGAGGCACTGAAAAATTGAGGAAAAATCGGTATTTTTTTAAAAATTATCTTTTTTTTTAAATCTATTCACTCTAAAAACATTTATTCCACATATAATATATATAGTTGTCAGATATACACTCGGAAGGGTTGGCATTCTCTACGTAGGGGCGACCGCCATTAAAAAGCTTAGCTCAATATTTTATTTAAATTAATTTTCTATAATTTTTTGGATGTTGGTCGGACCAAGACTCGAACCATGATCTACCGAATGGCTGTATGTAATGCTAACCACACGCCCATCGCTGCCGGCATTCCAAATATATTAACATAAATTGCTTATTGCGATGAACACAGATAAAAATACGAGGGTATTAACAAAAGTTCGGTCAGTTGGTGACTTTCAATTTGTTTTTGTTAAATCTAAAACCACCAAATCCATTACAATTACTTTGTTAGTTTTCCCCTCAAGTTTTAGAGCGATCGGCTAAAATGAAGACGAAAAAACGCAAAAGAGCTGAGGATAGGTCAGACGAAACTCCACCACCAACGCAAGCAGAAATTCGCAATGTGATTCTCTTCGGGTCTCGGCGTAATTTACAGCCAAAACAAATTTTTTAGTGAGGGCCAAATAGCATATGGAATGATTGCTCCGCCTTTAAAACTACTTTTAAGTGGTTCTGAGGATTTCAGGTCGGATATTCTTCCGTAGAATCCGAGCCCCGTGAAGGTCGACTAAAATCTTTCACTGATGATGTCACTCTGGCTCTGGTGAAGTCCAGAATTGACGAAGGACCACGATTGACACAATTTATTGCCAATGAATTGAGCTTAAATACCATGGTTGTGTCGCGAGTGACATCCAGCATCATATTCGCCGGGTATACGACGAATACTGTAGACAATGGTACGATGAGCTGTACGAGCTATACAAGCTATACGATGATATTGACATAGTTCAGCAAATGAAGACAGCGGCTACGTTGGCTAGGTCATGTCGTCCGAACGGATAAAAGCACTCCATTTTTGAAGGTATTCGTTGCAGTACCTGCTGGTGGAAGCAGAGGAATAGGAAGACCTCTACTGTGTTGGAAGGATCAAATTGAGAGAGACCTGGCTTCACTTGGTATTTCCAACTGCTACCAGGCAGCGAACTTTTGTTAGTCCCCTCGTATATTTATTTATTCTGGATTGCCAGCAACCCGTTCAACCAACTAAAGCGATTATGTTTAGCATAAGAGGAAGCTGCTTTAACCAGATATTCAGCCATGAATGATGTTAACCAATTTTCCAATTATCTTCAAAATTTGTTTATATTATATATTTATACTTATTAAGAAGTATATATATACGAACTCTGCCTTAAAGGCTATGCCTCCGAAGACTTCAATGGACTCACATAACCACAAAGCATCATTCATCGTATTCATTTTTATGGCTTTCTTTGGTTTAGCTACGAGTTTTAAGCTTACATACAACAAAAACCACTCTCGGTGGATGTGTGTATGTTTGTGTATGTTTGTGTATGTGTATGTATAGTGTAGTTGGCATTTGACCATACCAGCTGTCACTGGCCATCTTGTGGCCCATTACAGTAAATTGGTGATGCATTTATCAAATATAATGGGTCATCTGGGTGTGACTTAACGAATTCTGTGATAATCAATATGAGTAAATATGTATGAAAAGTAGTTAGAAAAATTACAAAATTATATATGTATGTATGATAGCAAAAGTTCTCTCTAATATAGAAATACCAGGATTGAAAGCAATTCAAAAATATTGTCATGACTCACTTGATTGCATCCAGGAAAAATATCAAATTATTTACAATTTGATTAAAGAAAAATGTATTATAATTGTCACATTGTCTAGCTCCTCCTCCAGTTGGTGGTATGCGTCAAATGAAATTACCTACAGTTTATTCTGACCCGCCCCCAAGCAGCTGATTAATCTTTATAAGTAGCTTTTATTTCATAACTGAAATAATCTATAAGTTTCGATGTTGGTCGGAGCAGTGCTCGAACCCTGGTCTTTAAATTATCTGTATGCAATGCTAACCATTCGGTTACAGCGGCTACCAAATAGTATATATTCAACTCCATTCCTTTCCACTGTGGCTAAAATGGTCACATGTACCATTCATTAATTGCGCCTGAAAGTATGCCTTCTGTTTATTTATAGGACTTACTACAGTATCAAAAAAGTTTATAAAAAAAAGCATCCAAAGATATATGGCAATTTTGATAGGCACCACAAGGGGCCCTTCCGAATTAGCCATAAGTTAGTTCTCACCAGACATTTCACCACACAAAAATCAACAACTGCTCACCAAATTTATGAGCAGCAATTGATATTGACTCAGCTGTTCGTTATTGCATGCAATTTCCGATTGGTTAATTTCTCAAGAGGTGATGAGTTGGTCAATTTAGTATTGCAACATACATATACGAATAAATATTCAGGCAGAAGCTCGTTGCTTACGCATACCGCAATTGAAACGAAGCCACATTTGTATTCGAATGAAAATCGGAGTTGTGATTACCAAAAGGCATTTCGAAATGCCGGTCAGTACATAAATATACATACATATACACACATAAACATAATTTACACATATTCTTACACCCTCATATGTTCATGTGGATACACATATACTTACATATGCAGTCCAAATAAGCCTCTATATTTTCACCGCTGTTTTGGAAGGCGAGTTTTCTCTTTATTGCCTGTTAAGCTCAGTTGCAGCAATCGTTTTTATGAATGTACACATATGTAATCAGTGACTATTCTCTTTAAGTGTATGCGTGTGATTGCAAAATGTTTTGTCAGCGTGTACATTAAATTAAAATATCCAAATTAAACGATATTATTTCACGCAGTCAAAGTAATTAGAGTAGAAACATTAGACTCATCGCTAAAAGGTCTAAGCAAGAAAGGTTCTGATCGGTTTTATTACTTTAATGGCTTCATCTTCTAGTTTTAACTCAATTAATAAAATTAAAAAATAGCTAACTTCAGCTGAACTCAGCAAATCTTCCGTACTGTCTTTTGAAGAGCAACGAAATATCTATAAAAAAAAAGCGCTAAGGGTCTGTGAGGGAGCGGCTGACAGGACCATTGCACATAATCGAAAATTTACAATTATATGTGAGCAATAACTGCAGAATCAGCCAGCCTATAGAACAGCTTCTATTTCATTACTTCAATGAATGGACCAACATTCAATCAATACAATTTATTTATTTTATTATATTTTAATTAAAATGAAATAAACTGTTTTAGTTAATTTTATTTTATTTTATTTTATTTTATTTTATTTTATTTTATTTTATTTTATTTTATTTTATTTTATTTTATTTTATTTTATTTTATTTTATTTTATTTTATTTTATTTTATTTTATTTTATTTTATTTTATTTTATTTTATTTTATTTTATTTTATATTATTTTATAATAATAAATTTTTTATAGTTTATTTATATTTATTTAACTTGTTTTATATTATTTTATTTTAATTTACTTATTATCTCCAAACCAGAATGGACGGACAGGACACTTCTATTTTGTACTTGAAGGGCTTGACACTATGGGCTGCTCCCCTACAGTCAATACTGGCAGCAAAGACACCGTCTGAAGGAAGAGATCGCCCAGAAATGAATAGTTTTGCCTAGCAGGAAGGAAATTGTGTTTCTTTAGGACAACGCCAAATCAGACATATCGATAGTGGTTCGACAAAAGCTCTGAGAACTTGTTTGGGAAGTTCTTATACATCCATTTTATAGTCTGCTCCTCACATTAAGTGATTGCTATTTGTTTCTGTCTACGGCTAATGATTTGTCTGGTGAAAAATTGGTCTGCGAAATTTTTCTCCAAATATGCATAAGGATTTCTACGAGAGATGCATAATGTCAACATTTGCATTAAATCGGATAGTTCAAACTATGGCATATAAAGCTTTCATTTTAATGCGAAAATAAGGATCAAATATTTTATTCATTTATTTAAAAAATATATTTATTTTCCCATATTTTTTATCAACTGTACTTTTCCAGATTGATCGTTACAATGAACATCATGAAGACATCGATCAAATTAACGGCCAACAACGTATAAATGGCTGGCTAAGCATTGACCTAAATCCGTTAAAATATGCGTTGCTTAACCACGTATGTAAATGGTCACACCTACACAAACGTTGGCTGTTGCAATATGTGGAACGGACATTAAACGTTAGTGACACTGTAAATAAGGATGAGTATGAGTTTTAATTATTATTGTCGGTTTTTGTACCAACCCACAGGAGCTCACCAACTTCATCAGTGGCGGTTTGGCAGTTCTACAACTGCCCGTAGGTTTACGGAATTTTCATCGCTTGCTGCGCGTTCTCGCTGTTATGGCCGAAATTCGTAAACATGCAACTTATGCGGATAATATGTTTAAGCCTTTAAAGGACATTATTGCTTTGTTGAAATCATATAATGTTGAATTTGATCAACAGCTATTGCGTAACATCGACCATTTGCCGCTGCAATGGAAGCATTTAAAGGATGTTGCTGCAGCACGATCGGAGGCTCTAGGAGAGGCTCAACGTTATCAACGGGAGCGCGTTAATGCTATGATTGCCATATTCATGTGTCGCTTACAGAATTATGCACGACAATTTCCGCGGCTGCCGGTAAGATAAATTCGGCAAAGGATGTGGGAGTCTAAATTGTCCGATTACCCAAGTCTGAGGTTCCTGAGAGCTCTTCAACTGCTATTGTCACAGCTTTTGTGAATGGCAGCGTTACTTAGTGTGCCTTTTTTGTGTTAGTAGGAAAGCTCAAAACAAGGCTTAGAATTAATTAAGCACATGCGTTGCTATCTTGACTTCTTTAGCTTTTTGCGCCGCTCCGAGGCCTCTTAGGTAAAGGGTTTCCTTAAGAGTATCTAATACTATTGGACTTAAAGCTCTTTGAAAACTTTTAGGACTCTCTCGAAAGTAACCGAGTTGCTCGTTAAGACCTTAGAGGCTAAAGTAAGTGAATTATTTTTCCCTTACCTGAATACCTAAATATCTTTCTTTTACATGGATGCCAAAAATGAGTTAAAGAGGTACACGTGAGAGTCACAGTTAAGATATTCCTGGCTTCCGGAAGTATTGTTTCAAATACTATCGGTTCTATTCGAATGATGTCTCATTAGGAGAGAAGGGCTTAGAGCAATAGTTTTCTTCTTTCAGTAGATTTTCTTGACTTGAAACAACAAAATGCTTTTCAATTTATTTTCAGTTCTTCTCAGTCCCGTGCAACAATGTGCACGTCCTTTGCGACATTGTCTGCGCCCGCTTAGATTACTTTGCTTCCCTGCATCGTCGTTATCTACACTATTCCGTCCTGCTTGGTATAGAATCGGCGGATCCGACAACATTATACCTCTGCATCGCCGAAGTAAGACGCATTAAGGTGGGTACACACACTCGTCTAATAGAGCTGAACAAATTATTAATTTCACTTTCTGCACACAGCAATTATGGGATTACGTTCATGTTATTGAATCTTGTATAGTGGAGTGGCATGCAACACCATGGCATAACATTGACACGGATGAGTTGGAGACGGAATGTAAGAAATTCACACGTGATCTACGAACGCTGGACAAGTGTGTACGTGATTGGGCACCGTACGCTTATATCGTAGGCATTCTCAAAGAGTTAATGGCTTCCTTGCGTGCCATCACTGAACTACAAAATCCGGCTATCAGCGAGCGTCACTGGTTGGAGTTGATGCAGGCTACGAAAGTAATTTGTGTTTGTGTCTGATATCTGAGTGAAAATTTTTAATATTTTTTTTTCTTACCTTGTATTTTACAGTTGACTCAAACACATAACGTGGATTATTTGGTGAGTTTCTGATTATTTTTAAGGGAGTTTTCTCTCGACCCATTCGGGTCAGAATCACGAGTTTAGTTGATTTAGCCATGTCGGTCTGTTATTGAAATATTTCAATGAAACTTGCTCTGGTACATTTGAGCGAGACTTTTCAGATTTAAGAAGAAAGAAGCTATTAATAGCGTGAAGTAGGATATGATGAATTACATACTGGTGATGAAAACAATTAACTTATCATCGAAAATTATATAAATCGAAGCACTATATATTATAGCTCCCATTCAACCGATTATTCCAGATCTAAGGTTCTAGGCCAAAAATCGATGAAAACATCATTCACAATCATTAGATTTGGGGTTCTACACCTGCATATGCAATTAAATATTGGCACCGAAAACGAAATCGAAAAACTTCATTGTGTAGCCCCCTTCAGCTAATTTTTAAGATATGAGAACTAATACTTAATAATCACCATATCGCAAAACGGCCGCTACACGCTCAATAACTTCACGAATTCCATCTTGGAGGCCTTGAATCGACGTTGGCCTGCTGGCATAGGCCTTTACTTTCACGTGGCGCTAAAGGAAAAAGTCGCAAAGTGTTCAATCCACTAGATTTTGGTGTCCAATTGCTATCACCTCTTCGACAGATAATACGGTCCGGAAACTGTTTCCTTTAAAAGATCGATGGATTCGTTGCTTTTGTGGCATGTAGCGCCGTCTTGGTGAAAGGAAACGCTGCCCATATCAATACCATCTAATTCCGGCCAAAAAAAATAATTAATCATCGCTCGATAGCGCAATCCATTCACCGTAACTGTTACTCCAGTCTCATTTCCGAAAAACTAAGATCCAGTGACCCCGCTGAACCTTAAACAGCAATAAACAGTTAGATGTTGAGGATGGAGAGGCTTTTAAACAATATATCTTGGGATTTCCGCGCAACAGATGGTAAAGTTTTGCTTATTAATGTAGCCATCGAGGCCTCATAAGTCACTCATACCCCCAATCACTTTCATATACCCAATCAGCAAAAGCGCGACGTTGTTGATGACCGGCCGGCTGGAACTTTGCAAGCCTTAAGTCTTTATTCAAGTCTTTATTCAAAACGCGGTGTAAATTTGTGGAATACAGAATTTCAAAGAACGACGATGGATATTCAAACCTCTGAAACATTCCGGGGCTACAGTAGAAATATTCTCAATTGTTCCGGAGTAACACGTTTGTTTCTTGACATTACCAACTTGTCCCAACAGCTCCATTTTTTCGCCACTTTCTGTATTGCGGTACGATTTCTTATCTTGAATCGTCTCTTCCAGGTTACCACCTTTTGTATAGTAAATTTTAATTACTTTCTTGCATCTCTCGTTCCATTTTTATTACTGGCGTAACTTTTACTCGCCAAATGCCAAAAAATTATAACTTCAAACGTGACATCTACCGGAGTACCAGGAGATTCAGTCCCTTATTGGAAAACTCTTTATTTCTAACATAAAAATAATAGAATAAATTTAGATCGCTATATTTGTTTGGAGGAGCTCGCTCGCGGTTATAAAGAAAGAATATTAAGTTTATTATAATATCTTTGATCTAGCTACGTACGGATGAGTTATTTTTCACCTACTTATGGAAGAGCGTCTCAGATATACTCAGAGGTTAGTCGCTTTTTCACTACTAAAAGTCTTCCAAGATCTGTGGTGAATATTATTACTTTCAGGAAAACTGCTCGCGATTTAGCAGGTACGTCCTTCTGAAAATCCAACAAATTTTTTTGAAAAGTTCGGTCTCTGATCCACTTCCCTGATTAGCCATACATATTCTTCTTGTTTGGCGGGAGACCAATTCAAATTATTTAGATTAATCGATTCGGTCCAAGCATTCCTTAGTTATAGACGTAGTAACGAACATGACTGTATTTTATATATAATATAATACTAGCTGTGCGCTGCAACAAACATGGCAGTGAAGAGCTGACCAGGTGCATGTGTTCGGGTGTTTGCAGAATATGGTCGGACGAAAGAATGCCTCCCCCCCTGCGGGTTAGGGGCTCAAAAATTTACCTGCGGTAAGGCATGCCTGTCGTAAGAGGCAAATATAGTCCAGTAGTTCCTGCGACAGTCGGGTTTTCATACCGGAACGACCCGGACATTCCCCAAAAAGTACTTTTTAAAATATTTTTGCGGCTACAATAACAACAACGAAAGAATGCCGGACGATTAGAATTTAAGTGTGCTTTCCCCAATCCATAAAAAAGGGGACCGCACAGTCTGCCAATTATAGTGGGATAAGCCTCCTTAATATCGCCAATAAGGTCCTATCAAGCGTATTGTGCGAGAGACTAAAACCAACCGTCAAAAAAACCAACCGTCAAAAAAACCGCCGTTCGATACCTAAAGAGGTTTCAGTCAAGGCTACTCCTTATCGCGTAACTTCTTTAATTTGATGCTTCCGAAAATAATACGAGCTGCAGAGCTGAATAGAGCAATATACAATCTTCTATAGAGGACTGAGTAGGCAATTGAAAAGTAAAGTTCTCTCCCGACGAACGAAATCCTAACTCTACAAGTCCCTCAGCGTTCTCGTCCTGCTATATGGTGCGGAAGCCTGAACGGCGTTAGAAGTTTTCGAGAGACAGGTTTTGCGAAAGTTTTATGGTCCTTTGCGCGTTGGCAATGACGAATATCGCAGACAATGGAACTATGAGCTGTACGAGTTATACGGCGACAAGAAGCAGCGGCTAAGCTGGCTTGTTAAATGGTCCGGATGGATGCGAATACTCCAGCTTTGAAAGTTTTCGATGTACCCGCCGGTGGAAGCAGCAGCACTCCATTGGAAAGACCAGGTGGAGAAGGACCTGGCAGTACTTGGTATTTCCAATTGGCGCCAAAGAGCAAAAAAGAAGAAGCGAATGGCGCATCGTTGTTAAATCTGCTGTAATCGCGTAAGCGATGTCTATGCCAGTGAATTAAAGTGCTCTGCAAACGCTTCACTGTCGCACATATTCATTGAATGTATGACATATTAATCATGGGATATCTTTCTATCATAAATTTATTTACTCCATACTTGTGGCAAAACAAGATTTTTGGTTTTACCATTTGCATGGGTCCACTTTCCAGAGAGAGGAATAGTACGGGTTTATGAATAGACCAGTCCCCGGTCCACTTCCCCGAGAGAAGAGTAGTGTTCCTGCTCATGAAGCAACCTATGAACTGATTTCCAAGTAAATCGAGCCGTAAATAAGGTTTTTTCGAAAAAGTCAGTCCCTGGTCCACTTTCCGGAGAAAAGAGTAGTATTGCTATTAATTTAAGCAAAAAGCCACCTATTCATCGAATTTCACGTAAACAGAACTATAAATTGGATTTTTTGTATATGTAGGTCAGTCCCTGGTCCATTTCTTGGAGACTTCTGTTAATCTAAGAATTAAGCTAACTTTGTACCGGATTTCGAGTAAATCGTGCAATAAATAAACTTTTTTCGAATAGTTCAATTCCTGGCCCAATTCCGGAGAGAAGTATAGTCCTCGTTTTAATCTAAGCAAAAAGCCACTGAACTTTTCGGAATGTTGACAGCACAATCTCCATCTTAAAAAAACTTCAATTTGACACACCAAGCTTGTACTGTCAACAACTGCTAGAACGATTTTGTGCAAACTTCACATAAACCAACTACCAAAAAGTGCAAACGAAGCCTAAGAATCTGGTTTGTATAGGTGCGCCCGTTCTTCAGTTGTAACACCACAACGGAAAGTGGCATTAATTTTTATATATGTAGATATAGAAATAGATTCAATCAAAATTATCGCAAAATTCAAAACCAAATTTAATAATTTTTCATCCTCATTAACTTTTTAAAAGTTCAATAATTCTAATTTTGTATTTATTTTGTGTTATTTATTTGGTTTGAAGGTCATTTTATGAATTTTGCTCATTTAGATCAAATTCTAAATTTTTCGTTTCTCGGAAACCGAACAAGGTTAGTGGTGCAATTTTTTCACCTCAATAGTAAAATTAATTTTGTTTCATATGTAAATATAAAAAAATATTAGTTAATTAAATCATGTAATATTTACTTTTATGCTCCATAAAATCATGAAATATTTGACGTTATAATAGTGCGTTTCAGAATCATAAGACAGCAGTTACCTTTTGAATATTTTAACCAATAATTTTAATAGGAAAGTAGTATTTTGTAAAAATGGAGCCAAACTTCATCGGTTTATTATGTACAAATTTTCCCTCAAACTTCTCGTTCCAGCCAATTTCTTCAAAGAGATTAACATCCAGGTTAGATCACTTGGATAATTACATCCTGAAGTTCATATTCATGGTCCAATTGACGATTATTTCTATATTCATTCATTCATTCTCTCTATTATGCACCATACGTTCTTCATGGGATTTAAGACCAGAGTGCAAGCCACTGGTTTGTATGAAGCAATCACTCAACACTGAATGTGAACTGTAATTCGAGCGTAGCTTTTGATGTAAGATCCCCTCAAATTATTACAGGACTTCCTCTGAAATTACGTTTAGTGAAGTAAAAATACTCTTTCGCAAATCTCCAATCTCCACACTGAAACTCTCAATGTATTTTTAGACACTTTCTTTTCAACATCTGCGGTCGCAGTTGGCCCAAGACCTGGTAGAGTTCGAGTTTAATCTGATATTTTGTCACTGCTCTCGGTGAGGAAGTGCTAATTCTCTTCCGACTGGCTTGAAAACATTATATCTGCAAATGATTTCGAACCAAACTCCGGTTTCTGCCACGTTCTTCACATTCACGTTCCACGTTCTTCACTTCATAATAAAGGCTTTTAGGCAATTAGGGGTGTTATTTTGAATACCCTGCTATTCCGGAAGATATCACCTTTGATACTAAAATTTTTTACTTTTGACAAGTAAGAACTA